AAAAGATGATTTAGGGGCGCGTCCCAGGCGGGAGCCAGTAAGAAAGAAACGCGTGTCTAAAACGGTTGAATTGAAGTGCATGACAGCTCATGCGCGTAAAAAGTTCCTTAAAAATCTTGATTTTTTAGGGAAAGCATGTTGGCCAGAAAAGAATGATCTCGACTATCAAATTTTAAGCCGATTTACTGGAAGAAAATACAGATATAGGTTCCATCACCTTAGAATACTGAGGTAATAGAACCTAGGGGGCAGTTGTGGGGATGTATTTTTTGAATACCAACACGTGACAAGGTGACGTCGACGTGTCAGCCGAAGTGCCACGTGTCCTGGTTATTATGTCGAGGTTATCTCGGCAAGGCCGAGGTTATCTCCGAGGAATCCGAGATAAATGGACAAAAAGATAAGGGACAAGAGTCCTAGAGAAAAGAGGAGACTTAGCCAAAATAAGGATAAAACTCTTAGGGAGTTTATCTTTATCTCTTGAAGAGTCCAAAGTAAGTACTGAATGGGAGTCCATAGAAGTCAGGCTTCTAGTGGGATCAGGATTGAGTTGGCTATAAAAGAGAGGCACCCCGTGGGTCTGAGGCACGTAGTTTTATGCTTTGAATAGTAAGTTTAGCACTTGATTATCTTTGAGAGATATACTGACTTGATCGTCGGAGTGCCCCGGGTGGTTGAACCACCGCCGGAGACTTCTCTTTCTGTTACAGGTCAGTCAGGTGCCATCTATTCTGCTGGTGCTCTCCAGCTGATTACTAGGCGGACAATGTGGTCAGAAAATCACCCACACATTACTTAAAAGATGTGTATTGAGATTTTTTTTTATATTTTTATATTTTTAAATGATGTGTACAAAAAAAATCTTTTATTTAATTTAATAGTGTATTTTGAGGTCTATTATAATTATCTTACTTCAAAATAAAATAATCATTAAAATAATGGTGGTGTTTGGGAACTTGGTTCCCATATTTTTTTTTGATTTTTTTCACTAAAAGACAAAAGTTTTACAAAATCAAAAAAAATAAATTCAAACAAAATATTACATCCAATCCTATAATCATTTCATTTTTTCTCTCACAAATATCACATTTAACCACAAAAAAAACTCAACTATTTTCTTAAACACTAAAATTTTTTTATCCAATAATATTTTACAACTAAAAAAACCTACATAAAAACTAATTTTCTAAATACCCACAATATATACAAAAATAAATAAAGGTACGGAAATAGAATTTCCCGACCTTTTTCGGTACGGAAATAGAATTTCCCGACCTTTTTCGGTTAAATCCCTAAAATTCGCTCACAGGGTCACGACCGCAACACCCTCACCAAACCCAAAGTCTAGTTATATACTCACTCACTACACCCATATTATATACAACCATTCATACGTTCATTTCTTTTTTTAATTTTTAATTTTTACCACCAGAGAAAGAAAGAGGGAGAAAGAGAGAGGCACTATCTTCCCCCTCTCTTGATTGATTGCTCTACTCCACTGTCTGTCTTCCTTCTCCTAACCTGCTTTGAGTGAGTAATCCTTACTTTACTTAGAAGTAGGGTTATCTCTCTCTCTCTTTTCTTTCTATCTACTACTTCAGTGTTCATCTGTACTCCACTCACCGTATATATTATATTATATTATATACATATTTGTATGTATGTGTTTCTGTATCCGATTCTTCAGTGTTGTTCATTTTCACAACAGAGACGCACGCTGATTGACGCATCTTCTACGATTTGGGCTTGGGAGTATACTCCCGACCCTTAATCAACCTGGATCTCCATTTCAACTCTCTCTCTTTCTGTATGTATGCATGTATATGTATCTATGTATAGCTGTTGTGTTCGGTTGAGTGATTAGGCCGAGTATTTTCATCGTTCACTGGAGGATCTGGAGCTACAAGGAGAGTCAAGCTTTGCAGATCCAATGCTTTTACAGCTCATAGTGTAGCAGGTAAACCTGCATTCTACATTATTACTTATATATACATGTATTTTTTCTTCTGGGTTGTTTACTTTTCTGTTTTTTGTAGGGTGAAAATTATTTTTTTAGGCATTTTGTCTACAATTTGTAGAGAATGCTTACCTTTATTTTACAAAGCATTTGTGATTTTTTTCCTATAGCCTATAGGCTGTGTTTGGTTCATGGATTTGACTAGGAATTTGGAAAGTGAAAGGGAAAAATGTGCAAAGTTTTGTGAGATGTAGCTATATTTTATCCACTTTCCCCTTTTTAAATGTCTACTCAAATCCATGAACCAAACACAGTCAGAGAGTTCGAATTTGTCTTTAAAAGAAAGAAAATTATTCCGATACTGTGAGTCGACTTTGTTAATGTTGATCTGGTTCAATTGGGCTTGAGAAGGTTTTTAGTTTCTCTTCATGACTCCCTGGGCTTTTTGGTTGTCACTCTTTCGTAATGTTTTCTGTAAAATCTTGACCCTCATATGACTCGGTCTTATATGTGTCATAAAATAAATATATTTATTTACTCAAGAACTATAAAGAGCAAATGTATATATACATACACATATATACTTGTGTGCATCAAAAAGCGGAGAAAAAAGAAAACATAAGCATTTTAAACCCAAAAAAAAAGAAGAAAAAATTTATATTGTTTTTGTAATTTTGTAATTTATGGGATCATGAGCATGCTTGTGTGGTCTGCGGGGATGAATTTTATAACCTTTGTGTGGCTAATGTGATGATTGTGTAGTTGTTCTTGATTTGCATTTTAACAGTTATTTCTTGAACTTGGATCACAGGCCATGGAGAATTTGTCATCCAATGGGAATCGTTTTCGGAGAATACTACGTCAATCCTTTGCATCTAATCTAAACTTAGATCCGTTGGTGAGTTTGTCATATCAGTATTTTTACATACATTTAAGTCATTTGTTTTGTTTTGTTTTGTTTTAACCTTGATTTGGTTTTATGTTCGTCACTTGTTGTGCGTCAGAATTACGAATGCTTTTATCATCTGAGTTTGTTATTGATTGCATGGTTGTGAATGATTAGTTTCCCAAGTCTTGGTAATAGATAAGAACTTTATGAATTTTTGCTATTGGCAAGTTTGATACTTTCCCTTAGAAGAATTTTATCGTTTATTAATCTCAGTGACAATTATAGACTGCTCATTTCTATGTACTACCACTGGTTTTGCTTTACATTCATGTTTCTTTGGGTATGAGACAACAAATTGAGTACATGATTGCCCAAGCTCATTGTTCTCCTTCAAATTTTGAATATAGATGTTTGAAGGACAATGCTATAGTAAGGATGAATATTATGTAGATCACATCTCTTTCTTAATTTAACCTACACCACAAGTACCAAATCCAGGACCCTAGTTATAACTTATAGAATGTACAAATATTTTATTGTGCCTTGACTAAATAATATCTTGGTCAAAGCCATGATCATGGTTTAGATTCCAGATTAAGTATTTATAAATACCATTCATTATTTATGAGAAATTTTTTCTTTGGAGAGTAATTGCAGAAAGAATATTCAACTAACTTAGTTAGAGATCAAAAGAAAATGGATTGGATCATCAATCAAATATCATTTGCACCCTTTCATTTTAGATGGGCAATATAGTGGTGAGGAATGGATTGTCTTGTGAAAATGTTCTTCCAATTCCTCCTCAACCCTGAAATCTGGATTACTAAGAAATGGAATGCGTAATGACTACAAGAGTTACTCTACCTCTGATTTGACCATTGGGAATAGTAAGCTTCAAATAGGATGCTTAGGCTAGTAGCATATGTATTGGTGATAAATGAAGATTCAGAGAAGAGAAAGAGTTAGGGAATGAGTGAGACCTCATTCCCTTTTATATTGATAATAATGCGTAATTACAGGAGTGCCATCAGGCATAAATTATATGCCAGCCCATTACATCAATCAATGGAAAATAAAATCAAATGAGAATAAAATATATGCAATATTGTTTCCTATTCTAACATTCTTATTCTAACACTCCCCCTCAAGCCGGTGCAAAGATATCTCTCAAGCCGGTGCAAAGATATCTCTCATGCCCAAGAATGTCATGAAATGGTTTGCTCCCTATGCCTTTGGTGAGAACATCTGCTAGTTGGTTCCTAATCTTCACAAATGGAGTACATATGATGCCACTAGTGAGTTTTTCCTTAATGAAATGCCTATCAATCTCCACATGCTTGGTTCTGTCATGTTGAACTGGGTTATGAGCTATGTTGATCGCCATCTTGTTGTCACAGTATAATCTCATGGAATCGGTCTGATGGATCCCTAAGTCTCTTAACAATAGTCTAATCCATAGCAACTCACATACACCTTGAGCCATAGTCCTGAATTTTGCCTCAACACTAGATCTAGCCACTATATTCTGTTTCTAACTTTGCCATGAGACTAGGTTGCCTCTAACAAATATTCAATATCCAGAAGTTGATCGTCTATCAGTGACTGGTCCAGTCCAGTCCAATCCGCGTCAGTAAATGACTCCACACTAAGATGTCCATGCTTGAGAAATAGAGGCCCTTTCTAGGAGAAGACTTTAGGTACCTCAGGATTCTCATAACTGCCTCTATGTGAGAATTTCTAGGAGCATGCGTAAATTGGCTAACCATGCTCACTGCAATGGCAATGTTTGGATGCGTGTGGAATAAGTATATGAGCTTACCCACTAGCCTCTAGTATCTCCACCTATCCACTGAATCTTTCCTTTGATCCTCACCTCACTTAGTTTCTGGCCTGGTTCTAAAGATGTATCACATGGCCTACTTCTAAGCATTTCAGTTTTCTTTAGCAAGTCAAGTACATACTTACTCTGGCATATGAAGATGTTATCCTTGGACCGAGCTACTTCAATGCTCAAAAAATACTTCAAATTACCCAAATCTTTAATTTCAAACTCCTTGGCTAAGTATTCTTTCAAACGAGGGATCTTCTCAACATTATCTCCTGTTAGAACAATATCATCAACATAAACAATAAGAGCTATGGTCTTACCATGTGAGGAGTGTTTCACAAATGAGGTGCGATCAACTTAACTTTGCTTGAACCCATAACTCAGCATAGCTTGAGCAAACCTTTCAAACCAGGCTCCATAAAGTAACTTATGGAGCTTGCACACTTTACCTTTAGACCTAGCAATCCTCAAAACCAAGGGGAATATCCATATAGACCTCTTTTTCTAGGTCTCTATGAAGGAAGGTATTCTTCACATCAAACTGATGAAGTGGCCAATCCAAATTTGCTGCAAGGGAGAGTAGTATTCTCACAGAGTTCATTTTAGCAATCGGTGCAAATGTCTCTTGGTCATCCACCCTATAAGTTTGAGCGAAGCCCTTAGCAACCAGTCTTGCTTTGCACCGTTCTATGGAACCGTCAGCTTTGCGTTTTACAGTGTACACCCAACTGGATTTTTGCCTCTAGGTAACTCCACTAACTCCCAAGTGCCATTCTTGCTGAGAGCTCTCATCTCCTTCATCATGGCATGTTTCCATTCAGGAATAGAGAGAGCATCCTGAAAATTGTTAGGCAGACTCACAAAAGAAATCTTAGTTAGAAAGGCTTTATATGAGGGAAACAGATTAGAGTAAGAGACATAATTAGTAATAGGATGCTGAGCACATGACTTAACCCCCTTCTTATTAGCAATGGGAACATCAAGATCTGAGAACTCAGGAATAGGAGTATTAAGATTAGAATTACCTGGACTCTCAGGAGAGGAGGATGACTCTAGACACTCATTCGGAGGAGAAGTTGGCAGTAGAGGAGGGAAAGTAGTCTATTGTATCCAGGTGACTTTCTGTCTATCTTTGTCCTTGACATAAATTTTGCCTGTTTCATTTTCTACAACACTTGCTCGCTTATCATCTTCTATTTGTTCAACCACTGGTGGTAGTAGAATAGGAATCTTTTCACATCAGGGCTCCCCTTGAATGGATGACTGGGACACAAGGGAGGTCTGAAAGTAAGACTGAAACTCAAAGAAAGTGACGTCCATGAGGGCAAACCATTTGCGAGATGGAGGATGATAATACTTATAGCCCTTTTGGGTGGCAGAGTAGCCCAGGAAAACACACTTAAGAGATTTAGGATCCAATTTACCATGAGTGAGTGAATGATTATGGACAAAACAAACACATTCAAAGGTCTTAGAGGGAATAGAGAACCTAGAAGGGGTGGACCCGAACAAAACCTGAAGGGGTGTTTGTTTTTGAAGGACTTGGGTGGGAAGACTATTAATAAAAAAAGCTACAGTGAGAACCGTTTCCCCCTAATAGGATCGAGGGACACGCATTTCAAAGGATAGACAACGGGCTACATCAAGGAGATGACAATTTTTTCGTTTTGCAATACCATTTTGTTGAGGGATATTAGTGCATGAAGTTTGGTGAATAAAGCCATGAGTGGCAAAATAACTAGTAAGACGGGAGTCAATATATTTCCCCTTAGAACGTAGAATTTTTACAACCGCCGCAAATTGAGTGCAAACCATTCTATGAAAGTTTTGAAACACAGAAAACACCTCACTTTTGTCTTTCATTTGATATACCCAAGTGGCCCTAGAACAGTCATTTATGAAAGTAACAAATCATTTTTGACCTTTTATAGACACAAAACGAGAGGGACCCTATACATCAGAATGAATCAAAGAAAATGGAACCGAATTTTTATTAATAGAAGGAGCAAAAGAAGCTCTGTGTTGTTTTTCAAGTTGACATGACTCATTGAAAATTAGACAAATTAGTTGTCTCAAAAATAGAAGGAAAAAGATGCTTAAGTAGTAAAAAAGAGGGATGTCTTACATCGGTGCCACAACCAAAAGTCTTTTGATGGTAATTGAATAGATGAATGAGTCAGTTTGTCAGTTTGATCCAGAATGTAGAGACCATGTTCCTCTTTACCACTGCCAATCTTCTTTCCCGTGATAAGGTCCTAAAAAAGACAATGATTAGGAAAAAAATATCACGTTACAATTCAAATCACAAGTAATATGACTCAAAGATAAAAGGTTAACACTAAAATTGGGAACATGGAGTACAGAGGCTAAAGAAAGGGAAGAGGTAGCATGAATTAAACCTTTTCCCAACGTAGACGAAATAGTACCATCAACAATACGCACTTTGTCTTGACCTGAGGAGGGTGTATACTCTGAGAACAAATTAGAGGAACCAGACATATGGTCGGAAGCACCAGAATCAATAATCCAAGGAACAGTCTTATGGTATAGCAATGCACTAGTAAAGGAAGCTAAGTTACCTGAGTTGGCAAAGGAAGAAGAGGATGCACTGGGGACAGTAGTAGGGGTTCGACGGTCTAGCAAGTGGCGAAGAGCAATCTCAAACTCTGATGCAGATAACCTAGAAACATCAGTAGCCGGTGAGACAGCAGCAGCTGAAGGTGGTGGCTTAACCATGTTAGAAAGATGTGCCCGAGCATTAGCCCCTCCCCCCTAGACTGGCTCGACCTACCCCCTCTAGAACCAGGACGATCTCCTCGGCCACGGAAAGGAGTCTCATGCAGCTTCTAGCAAGTCTCCCGTGTGTGTCGAGGTCGACGACAGTAGTCACAGAAAAGAGTATCCTTTTCAGTAGAAGGATGAGAACCATGAGTCATACGGTCTCCATCTCGAGGTGGTGCAGAGACCAAGGTAGAACGATCAATAGTGGGAGAATGAAGCATCGCGGAGCGGCTACTCTCCTCATTTTGCACATAAGCAAGGCTTCTTGGAGAAAATGAAGCATATCCATACCAAGTACTCTACTCTGAACTGGATCATATTTCACACTCAGGCCTTCTAAGAACTTGAAGACTTGCTCTTGTTCCATAAACTTCCGGTAACCAGTAGAATCAATAGGGTAGATAGGCTTGTAATCCTGAAGATGGTTAAGGTGCTTCCAGCCATTGCTAAGGAAGGTAAAATACTGGAGAAAAGTCATCTCACCCTGTACTGACCTTTTAATAGAGCGACGTAACTCAAAAGTCTGTGAGAAGTTTCCTTTGCGGAAGTAAGTGGTAGCGACAGCCTCCCAGATATCCTGTGCAGTGTTCATAGCCAAGTAGCCCTCTTCAATCTCAGGGACCATAGAGTGAATCAAGCAACCCATGATGAGAGAGTTGGTGATTTCCCACTGATCATAACTAGGACCCGTGATGCTGGGTGCTTGTATTCTGCCATCAATATACCCCATCTTCCTTCTGCTCTTCAAAAAAATAGTCAGACTCTTCCACTACGCTAGATAGTTTTGACCATTGAATATAGAAGTGGTGATTTTAAAGCCAGGGTTGAGATTATCAGTAAGGGGACTCTAGCTCTTAGGTGATTGAGAAATAGTTGACTCACTAGTGGAATCTACCATAGATATGCTACTAAGTAACCCTCAAGCCCAGTGCTAATCACAAACTTGGAAGATGGTGGGGAAATAGTAAGCATTATGACTATTAAAAAAACATATGAAAATTAAGAACCTTTTTTTTTTCTTTATTTTTTTTTTTCTATTTTAGGTTGAAAACATTACAGGAGAGAGAAGGGAGTTGTCGCCACAGATGGAGGAGCCTTGGAGGCTTGCCGATAAGAGCCTAAGAGGCAAGAGAGCCTACTGATAGAGGCCTAGGGGGCCAGAGGGGCTCCCGACAGGCTCCTAGAAGACTAGAGGGGCTGCCAACTAAGCCTAATAGGCTGTCGGGGAGCCCAGGAGGATTGCCGAAGGCCTGGGCAAGGGGTTTCGGAGGCCTGGTTTGGGCTGGGTTGACTGTCGGTGTGAGAGGGTGAGGAAGGGAGGCTGTTGGAGAAGCTGGAGAAGTGGTAGTGTGGCTGGGTATGGCTGGATTAGGGTAGCGAGGATATGAGTGGCTCTGATACCATGAAGATTTTAGAGAAGAGAAAGAGTTAGGGAATGAGTGAGACCTCATCCCCTTTTATATTGATTATAATGCGTAATTACAGGAGTGCCATCAGGCATAAATTATGGGCCAACCCATTACATCAATCAAGGGAAAATAAAATCAAATAAGAATAAAATATATGTAATATTATTTCCTATTCTAACATTAAATGGAAAGCGATGCAGCACCAATAACTTGGTTAAGTCAGATAGTTCTATTTTAGAGGCCTAAAAATATTTTTCTAGCTTTAGAGGCTAAGAAGCCACAACACTCTAAGATGGGTGTTGTGTCGACATGGCGGGATACGTGTCTCCACATTTCGAACACACCACGTGGTGTGTCAATTTTTTAATGATTATTATTATTATTATTATTTTGTGTGACATGTTAGGGACACTTCATGGACATGTATGCCTTGTGTTTAGACACAAATTAGTATACATTTGTAGGTTATTTATTTATAATTTTAGAAAGCTGATTTGGAGTCAAAGTAAACTAGACGGAAATAAAAAGTATAGAAAAAAATAATACACCCACATATATATATATATCGTTGCCTCTCATACCTATGTACCCTAAATTTATATTCATGTACATAATAAATAAAAATATATATTTTTTTTGTATCCATGCCGCGTTAGTATCCTATTTTTTGAGAATCACCATGCCTTGTGTCTTGTGTCGTGTGTCGCTGTCTGTGTCTGTGTCCGTGTCCTTGCTTCTTAGTTGATAGGAAAGGGTTCATTTGTATTAGTTGGGTTGTATTCTTTTTAACTTTAGGTTCATATGTTGCTATAACAATTTTATTAATGATTATGAGGTGGGTGTATGATTGACATGGGTTGTTGTAATGGTCCATTGGTTGCATTATGTCCAACTTATGTTTTTTATTTGGTCTAGATTAGTATTAATGGTGAAACAATTTTTTTTAAAAATTTTGTAAGAACTTTTGGAGTATTAGTAGTAGTAGTAGTAGAATTATAAATTTATATATATCCTGTAAGGATATATGTAATTCAAAAGGTTTATTTTTCCAAAGCTAAACTTAAGGAAGCTATGCATGTATGGTGGATCAAGGTGTTGATGAAATTTTAAAAGTTTGGTAAGAAACAAAATTTAATTTTGGAAGTGACGCAACAACCATGATGTGCTACTTTCTTCTTATCAGCTAGAAGCAAAGGGTTTCACTGTGCGTCTAAGGCAAGAAAACTTGTATGTTGGAGAGGCTAAGTGCTTTCACTTGGCCAATCATTGTGATTTCTTTTTTTGGATTGAGGATGTATTGTTTGCTAGGTATAGGATGGATTGCCTCTCTCTTCATTCCCTATACTATACCTCATGAAGTCTTTTCTCCATATTTAGTTATTTATTAGTTGATTTATTCATTCACGATAATTTATTTATTTCGTAATAAAATTTCTTAATATGTTTTTAAAAATTTACCGCCATATTTTTTCTTGCAGCTTGATGAAAATTTGGAGCAGTGGCCACATCTGAACGAACTTGTTCAATGCTACAGAACTGACTGGGTAAAGGATGAAAACAAATATGGATGCTATGATAGCATTGGGCCCATTTCATTTCAGAATCAGATATTTGAGGGGCCTGATACGGATATTGAAACAGGTAGGGAAGGCGCAAATGCTGTTAGGCCTATTTAAGGAAAATAATCTACCACCAGATATGCAAAGAAATATGTTAAATATGGTATCCACCAAATCAAGTTGCAATTGGCTTGGTTTGTTTGGGAGTGCTATATTGTTGTTATCTAGTAATAAGATACTGGATATCCTTGATATCATTCATATTCCCTAGTTTTCTGATCTGTCTGCAGAAATGCATCTTGCCAATGCTAGGCAGACTAAGATTGATGATGCTACTGATGATGACATCCCCAGTACCTCGGGAAGGCAATTTGCAGATGCTACCTTCTCTGATTCATCGCATTCAAGAGTTTCAAAGGTTAGCAATTTGAGATGATGTTTCTAGGATATGTATGAAGCATAATTTGTTCTTTTTTCTTTTCATTTATTATAATTTCTCTTTTTTCATCAATTTGATTAAATTCAAAAGCATGTGGTACCACTTTACTCTTTTTGTTGTTGTTGTCTGTGTGACTATAATTCATCTGGTTTTGATGTGGTTCTCTTAAAGTAAAAGAAAATCTAAAATGTTTTATTTCTAGCATCTGGGTGAGTCTCCTCTCCCTGCTTATGAACCTGTGTTTGATTGGGAAAATGAGAGATCGATGATATTTGGGCAACGGAATCCAGAAGCTCATACGGCACAGTATGGCAGGTTTGGCAAGTTATTGTATACTGTAATGTTTGTATCAGTTTCTCTCTCTCTCTCTCTCTCTCTCTAATAGATAAATACATATTCATATTTTTGTGGTCACAGTGGATTGAAGATCTCTGTGAAAGTCTTATCCTTATCTTTTCAAGCAGGGCTAGTTGGTAAGTTTTTATCTTTGGGTAATGGTGCTATACAATTGAATAGTTGATTCTTCCCTAAATTTCATTCCTTTGTTTTGTTTGGCTACTTGTTTTAACATCTGATGGTAGGTCAATTTTTTTTTTTGTTGTAGAGCCATTTTATGGTACAATTTGTTTATACAACAGGGAGAGAAGAGATAAATTATCAGAGGATTTCATCTTCCGTGTGTTACCAGCTGAGATGCGGGATGTAAGCTATAACAATTTTATAGTTTCTTTTGTTGAGGGAAGTTGGTTGCTTTTGTGACCTGCTTACCTGTGTCGTCCTCTACTCTCTCTAAATGTAATCTGTCATGTGATCGTTTCTTTATCTTATGGTGATAACAGAGAATAGTAAGTAATCATCAATTTACTATTTTGTTTGTTACTATTGCTAGGCTAGTAGTTCTTGCGAATCTCGTGGTGTTTTCTATTTGGATGCTCCATCAGCATCAGTTTGTCTGCTGATCCAGTTAGAGAAGCCTGCCACTGAAGAAGGTGGGGTTACTCCCTCTGTTTATTCACGTAAAGAACAAGTAAGTCCCGGCAAATCTGTAACCATGGCCTGTCATTGTTTTGCTGGAAGGTTTGGTTATCTGTGAGATTAGATGCACATGTGCTTATAATTTCGTTCAAGTTGTTTTATACTATATTGTTTTCTGCATTACTTAAAGATTTTTTGAACCGTTCTAGTTGGACTCTTAAAGAAATGATTTGCTTGTATAAAATGTCGGGATGGTTTGCTTGTATAAAATGTCGGGATGGTTTTATTTACACTTTACTGTAACTACAACTTGTTGGTCTTTGTTGTAGAAATAAAGATAGCTGTGTTGGTAAAAAAATTTGCACTGTTAGCTCAAAGAGAAGATGATTTTTATCAATTAGAGCATAGCTTTCACAAATTTTTTGTGTACACAAGATGAGAACCAATAGTAAATTCGTGTACATTCACAAATACCTGCACCTCCATAAAAAGTGAACCGAAGTTCTATACAAATCAACCACCCACATAATTTGAAGAAAACAATGTTCTCTTTAGCAATTGAATATATGAAATGAAATGCTTCATTCTTCTTTTTGTTAACTGTTGGTGCACTGCCACATCTTTAATCATAGCCTGGCAACAAGCACCATTAACTCAGATAAAGAGGAAGAAACTTGCAGTAATTCTAATTTCCAAAGTTAACTAATATTGTTCAGAACTAGATATGTGTATTTGTCGACGGATTTAAATTTATTGTTTTTTATGCCAAATACCAGACAGTTTATATCCTTTGTTTGGTGATTTCATTCATTTTTACTCAACAGGTTCACTTTACCGAGAGAGAAAAGCAGAAACTACAAGTGTGGTCTCGAATCATGCCTTATAGAGAGTCATTTGCCTGGGCCATTGTTCCACTATTCGATAACAGCATTGCTGCAGCTTCTGGTGGGTCAGCTTCTCCCAGTAGTCCTCTGGCTCCTAGCATCTCTGGGTCAAGCTCCCATGATGGTGTTTCCAAATCAAGTGCAAAGATAGCATTAGATGGGAAGCCTGGTTACTCGAGTGGAAGCTCTGTTGTTGTCGAAATATCAAACTTGAACAAAGTTAAAGAAGGCTACACAGAGGACTCACTCCAGGTGTGGCAGACATCAAGTCTTCTTATGTGTTGGACTTCGTTCTGTTGCTTTATTTACTCTGATTCTAGTAGTTCATAGATAATGTACATTAGGCATGTGACATTTATGTTCCTTTATTTGCTCTTTTGGCTAAGTCTTCTTTATTGCTTTAGTACAGGCATATTGGTTGATGCATAATATACACATATTGATTCTTAAGAGCTCCACAATCTCATGTGTGTTGTGTTAAAAAAAACCAGAGAAATGAAAGTTTTGCAATCTGGTACACCCTAAAGGAAGAAACATTAAATACCAAGAGTAATGTAAGTTCCGACTTCTAGTAATGAAACCCTCTGTCCTGTCATCCATGGGTGATGCATAATGTACTTAGATTGGTTCCTTAAAATCTCCTTCACAATCGCATGTGCTGTTGTCTGCTTTTTTAAGTGCTAATTTTGTGAAATTAGATTACTTAAAAAAAATCTTTGTGAAATTTGAACAATGTTAAAATACAAGTTAACTTATTCTAACATATGGCTCTGCCTTAATTAAGTTATGATGAGCCACCTCCCTTAAGAAAAAGAAGGAAAAAGAGAAGTGAAAGATTCATTGTCTGGTTCATTATTATTGTTATTTTTATATATCCGTTCCTTTATTATTAATTTTTATTGATTTTGCCTTTTTATTCTTACACAAAGATTACTAGTTTTCAGTCCAGACCATACTTCCATTAAATGGTTGTTTATGTAATTCCTTTGGGCATTGGTATGTTGCTTCTAAGGACATTTTGGACAATTATGCAGCAAAATATATATTTAACAGCTTGTTCACCAAACAAGTTCTCAGTTTTTTGACAGTTTGTTTGAAGCTGCACCAAACAAATTTACAACTAATTCACTGCTTTTTAATAAGGCGGCATAATCTTAAAAGCTAGCTTTTATGAGAAGCATTTTGCATCTATTCATAGCAGTTAACAAACTATTTTTTGTGAAATGTCATTGCTAAAATTTTCAAAGATTTGTATTTGTTTTATTTTTCTAATCACATTGATAATCAATTTATTTATTATCTATGATTATCCAAGTAGTACTTATTCACTGGATTGAAATATCAAAACCTTGATCATCATAAGGGGAAGTTATCTAGTGACCCCTCGGTAAGAAGATTGAAAAACCAGTACTTAAAAAAAAAGAAAAAGAAAAAGAAAGAAGATTCCAAAGCTTGGCTCTCTGGCAGCATGTCCATGTTCTGGTACTCCAAATGATAATAAGTGAACAAGATTTCTGAGAAGTGATTGAGTTAGCAAGCCTTTGTATATTAGTGAGAATACTTTCTACCTTAGGTTTAGCGTAGGATTTCGGTTAAAGCACAGGAGAGGGATTTAAGAGTGATAGTAAGTTGGCAATGGTGGCCTATTATGCCATCTAGTTGCTGTTTATTTGCAAATGGAAGTCCCCGTTTTGTGGTTTGGTGGGTATGTAGTTGGTTGGAGGGTTAGTAATACAGCACATGCATTACCTATTTTCTTTTCATAGAAGTTGTAAGATTGTTGTACTCATTTATTAATTACAACTGCAGATGACATTCCGTGTTTCTCATTATACCTAACACTAAATTTTTCCCTTGATTTTCCTCTAATTGTTTAGGATCCTAAACGCAAGGTTCATAAGCCCGTGAAAGGTGTCTTAAGGTTGGAAATTGAAAAGCTCCAAGCTGGCCCTGTTGACTTCGAAAATATTTCAGAAAGTGGCAGTGTAACCAATGATACTGTTGACATAGGTGACCGATTAGCTGATTCCCCATTTAATGGTGGGCCTCGTACAGGTGATTCCAAGTGGAATTCCCCTGATGGAAAAGAAATTCAACGAAATGGATCAATTGCTCAAGGAAATCTAGATATCAATGCTGATGATGTAAGTGTTACGCATTTCTTGTACTTGTATTAGCTATATATTATGTGTTACTTCCAGATGAGTGTACTTTCAGCACAACTGTTATTAGAAAAGTGACATGGCATAGGTTTTAGTGGGTCATTTGTTGGTTATTGTTTTCTTGTTTAATGCTTTGTTAACTTTGGAATTCAACCTTCAATTGCTTGAGTCTGGAATTTGGCTGTGAATATCAAACAGAAGTAAACAAAAGAAGAAAATGGTTTTGTTGTCCGATGATAAGGTGGTTAACATATATTTTAAAAAATCCAAGTAACTATGTAAATGTATTATTATCTGTTGTAAATTAGTTTGAGGAGAAATTGTGTCCAAAATTCTTTTTCTGGATGATCTATTGCATCAATAGAGAGTTTTGTATTTATAATTGGTTTATTGCCCACTTATTCAGAATGATAAATGGTTGATAAATATGCAGTTCCAGGCTTTCGATTTCCGCACGATGACGAGAAATGAGCCTTTCTTGCAGCTTTTTCATTGCCTTTATGTCTATCCCTTGACTGTTAGTTTGAGTAGGAAAAAGAATTTGTTCATTCGGGTTGAACTCAGAAAGGATGATGCAGATGTTCGCAGGCAGCCTTTAGAGGTAGATTGGTACTTTACTTTTATTTTGTTATACATTTATTTGTTGATTTCCTTCTTCTATAGACAACAAGTATTCATTTATGGTACTATTTTAATTAGGCAATGCATCCAAAGGAACCAGGTGTGTTGCTTCAAAAATGGGCTCAGACCCAAGTTGCGGTTGGGGCTAGGGTGGCTTGCTACCATGATGAAATTAAAGTCTCCCTCCCTGCTATTTGGACACCATTGCATCACCTTTTATTCACTTTCTATCACATTGACCTTCAAACAAAACTGGAAGCTCCAAAACCAGTAAGTCCTATTATGTTAGTTTTTCATCTTGCATTGTCGTGTCTTGCATTGTTGTCTTTTTAAGCAGTAATGATGTTGTTTGCTCTTGCAGGTGGTAATTGGATATGCATCGCTTCCATTGTCCACGTATGCTCAGTATGTTTTTGCCTCAATTGTCCATTATCTTTTTCTTTTTCTTGCCCCCTTTTTTCTTTCATTCATTTGTCTTTTCTTTTACTTAACATTATGCAGTGTGTATATACATATCTTTGAACTATCGAAACAAATCACAAAACATCTACATGTGGATTCTTACTATCCTTTTTCAATCAAAGCACAAATAAACACAAGAGACATTACTACTTTAGAGTTGCTAATACATGGCATTACAAGTTGCATTGCAACCAACATCTACTCGTACATGCCCATAAAGGAAAAATCAAAACACGAGATCTAAATACAGAGAAAAGCCTAATCAGTGATTTCCAACATTTCCAGTGGAAGCATAGCAGCCTAATCAAAATTCCAGCATTTTATCCCTTGCCTCAGTCCTCAATGAAATCCTATTGAAAACAGAGCAACATTTTGAGATAATGGAAACCAAAAGATAATTTTGGTTTGGATGTGTTATTTCTAACCCAAAAGCCCATATCTAAGTTTGGTTTTGTGACCAAAAGATAATTTTAGAAATTTTGATAAATGGGTAGAATGTATTTGTCTTTCATGTATGCATATGTGCAATATTGTCTTCTTTGATTTCTTCTATTTCTTCTTCAATTTGTCCTCCATGATCCTTTTGCTTCATTTCTAGTTGCGATTTTTAGTGTTCGGTGGATACTATGGTATGGAGCTATGGGGGTTAACTTTGGAGGGCTCAAACATCTTGGGTCGTGAGGTATGGGTTGGGGTTGTTGAATTGAGGTGAGAAGAACTCCTATCGATAAAGAGAGGAGGAGGTTGGGCAATCCTAAGAAAAGATGCATGACACATCCACTAGTAATAGGCTAATACATCACATATATACATAGGGGGGGCCAACTTGGTGGCCAAGAGAACTTAGGGACCAAGCAAACTTAAAGCCTAAATAGCTCTTAGGGCCCAAGCAAAAGGATAAAGTGTCAGAATGTGTTAGGATATTTCCTATTTTATTCTTATTCAGTATCTTTATTTGATGTAATGGGCCCCTTTATTTAGGCCTTAACTCACTCCTATAATTATGTTTATGATGTAATATAAAAGAGGATGAGAGACGACTCATACCTTTAATTTTTCTCTTCACAAAACTGACATGGTATCAGAGCCAGTCTAAAACCCTAGAAACCACGAACCCCGATCACCACCACACCACCACCCTAGTCGCAGAACCCTTAGGGTTCCTCCACCCCAGTTGCCGACCCCTAGGGTTTCGTTAGTCCCTGTCACAGATGCCTAGGGCTCCAAAAACACCCTAGGACTCGTCTGAGCCTCCCTTTTCCCAGCCCAAGCCTGTCGGCTGGCTTGGAGGTTTAGTCAGGGGAGTTTTTTCTTTCCTTCTCTGGCTACCTATAGCTTTTAAGGAACCTGGAGGTCTAGTCAGGTGCGACGTCATCTGGGTAGCTTCGCCTCTTCCTTGTTCTCTCTCTCTCTCTCTTCATGCAATCTGTCTCTCACCCTTCTTCGTAATCAGTTTTTGTTTTACAAAAAAAAATAAAAAAATAAAAAAAATGTTCTCTTAAATTCTATTTGTTCTTATTGTTATGTTCTCCCGTCTTCCGGGTTTGTGAATTAGCCCAGTGTTTGTTTGTGAGGATTCCTTAGTAGAGTCTCTATGGTGGAATTGACTAGTGAGTTTACTACTTCGCAGCCTGCTACTCAGGGCGCAAGTCCGATTTTGACTACTACCATGACCGATTCCCTCAACCCTGGCCAAAAAATCACTACCTCTTTCTTTAATGGTCAGAACTATCTAGCGTGGTCGCAGAGTTTGACTATATTTTTGACGAGCAAAAGGAAGATGGGATATGTTAATAGGCGCGTTTAGGCTCCTAGTATCACAGATGCGGGTTATGATCAATGGGAGATTACTAATTTTCTTATCATGGGCTGGTTGATACATTCAATGATTCCGGAGATTGGTGAGGGATACTTGTCTATGGACACAACACAGGATATTTGGGAGGCTGTGGCCGTTACGTATTCACGCAAAGGCAATTTCTCACAGACTTTTGAGTTACGACGCTCAATTGACTGGTCTGTCCAGGGTGAGATGACTATCCTCCAATACTTTACTTCCTTAGCAATGGGTGGAAGAGACTTGGTCATCTTCAGGACTACAAGCCTGTCGGTCCCAATGATTTTGTTGGTTACCGGAAATATGTTGAACAAGTGCAGGTTTTCAAGTTTGTGGAAGGTCTGAATGCGGAGTTTTGATCCTTTTTGAAGTCGGGTGCTTGGTATGGATACGCTTCCTTCTTTCCAAAAAGTGTTTGCTTATGTACAGAATGAGGAGAGTCGTCGTTCTACTATGCTTCCGTCTGTCTCTTCTGATCGATCTGTCTTGGTTTCTGCACCCTCTAGAGATGGGGATCGTGGTTCCCATCCTCCATCAGAGAAGGATACCCTTTTTTGTGACTTTTGTCATCGCCCTCGCCTACGCCCTCGCCACATCCCTGAGACTTGTTGGAAGTTGCATGGGCAGCCATCTAGGGGTCGTGGCGACCGTTCTGGTTCTTGAGGGGGTCGCTTTGGTCAATATAGAGGCCGAGGGCCCAATGCTCGAGCCCATTATTCTGATACAGTTGAGCCACAGTCCTCAGCTCCGATTGTTTCATCTACTGATATCTCTGGGTTTTCTACTTCTGAATTGGAGGTTGCTCTTTGCCACTTGCTAGCCAGTCGGGCATCTAGTTCATTTTCAGGTAACATTGTCCATTCAGGTAACTTAGCTTCTTCTACAAGTGCTTTCCTCTCTCATCAAGCGTTGCCTTGGATTATTGATTCTGGTGCTTCAGACCACATGTCTGGGTCTTCTGATTTGTTCTCCGTGTGTACTCCTTCTTCAGGATAGGATAAAGTTAGAATTGCTGATGGTACCATTTCTTCTGTGTCTGGGAAATATTTAATTCATGCCACTGCTTCTCTTCCTTTATCTTCTGTCTTACATGTTCTCAATTTTAGTGTTAATCTTTTATCTTTGAGTCGTATCACTCGGGACTTAAATTGTAGTGTGACCTTTTTCTCTAATCCGAAGGCTTGGTTTGAGAGGCTTACTCAAACCATGCTGAGATATGGTTTCAAATAGAGTCAAGCTGATCATACTTTATTTGTGAAACACCTGCTCACATGGTAAGATGACAACTCTTATTATTTATGTGGATGATATTGTACTCATAAGGGATGATGTTGAGGAGGTTCCTCGGTTGAAGGAGTATTTAGCTAATGAATTTGAAATCAAAGACTTATGCAGTTTGAAGTACTTTCTAGGCGTTGAGGTTGCTCGGTCCAAAGATGGCATCTTCATATGTCAACGAAAATATGTGTTTGATTTGAGAAAAGAAACTGGAATGCTTGGAAGTAAAACCTGTGATACACCACTAGAGCCTGGACTGAGGATCAAGGAGGCGAGTCTATAGACAAGGGGAGATACCAGAGACTAGTGGGTAAGCTTATTTACTTATCCCATTTGCGTCCTGATATTGCTATTGCAGTGAGTATGGTTAGTCAGTTTATGCATGCTCCATGTGCAACTCACTTAGAGGCGGTTATGAGGATTCTAAGGTACTTGAAATCTTCTCGAGGAAAGGGTCTCTATTTCTCAAAGCATGGTCATCTTAGTGTGGAGGCATATACGTATGCTGATTGGGGCTGGATCATTAACTGATAGAAGATCCACCTCTGGTTATTGTACCTTTGTTGGAGGAAATCTAGTTACTTGAAGAAGCAAGAAACAAAATGTAGTTGCGAGGTCTAGTGCAGAGGCCGAATTCAGAGCTATGGCTTAAGGTGTGTGTGAGCTATTATGGATTAGATTATTCTTGAGGGATTTGGGGATTCATTAGACAGATTCTATGAGGCTATACTGTGACAATAAGGCCACTATCAATATCGCTCACAATCCGGTTCAACTCAGCATGATAGGACCAAGCATGTGGAGATTGATCGACATTTTATCAAGGAAAAACTTACTAGTGGTACTATATGTACGCCATTCGTGCGGTCTGGGGAACTGGTTGATGTTCTCACCAAAGGATTAGGGAATAAACCATTCCGTGATATTCTCAACAAGTTGGGCATGAGAGATATCTTCGCACCAGCTTGAGGGGGAGTGTTAGAATGTGTTAGGATATTTCCTATTTTATTCTTATATAGTATCTTTATTTGATGTAATGGGCCCTTTATTTAGGCCTTAACTCACTCCTATAATTATGTTTATGATGTAATATAAAAGAGGATGAGAGACCACTCATATCTTTAACTTTTCTCTTCTCAAAACTGACATAAAGGTCTGTATACTTGTATTTGACCTCTAAAGCATCTTAAACTTGACCCAAACCAAGCAAATCAGACCATAAACAGCAGCCGATTCTGGCAAGTTGCAACCCATTTTGGAGCCCAAACTGCTAAACTATAAAACTGCTTGACTTGATAATAAAGAAAAAATATAAAAATAACTATGGGGAAACTAAAAGATAACTAATTCTCTAAGCATGTGCCAAGCTAGAGTCCTATCAAATCAACATGGCTTAAGTCTAGATTTCCTCTTGTTTAGTATTTATCATTACTTCCCATGCACGATATTTGCATCAATGATATTGTGCAATGTGTTCCGTATATGTATTTTGTATGATATGTTTGTTGCTTTTTGCCTTAAACCCATAACTGGTTTCCCTGCTGCATCATGTCAATAGATTCGAATCCTAGGATTTAAATTTCTCCGAGTAGAATCTATCACTATAGGATCAAACACTGCAACAATTGTGCATAATTTGCTCATTACTAATCTTATGTTTTATATCACCCTTTTCCTCCCTTTTCTCTTTTACCTGTTATTCAATCTTCTCATGAAAGGCATTAGATAGTGGCATTTGTCGGGCTTTTGTATTTACAATGTAAACTTACCATCTGTAATACTTATGAATCATGCAGGTTGCGACCTGAAATTTCTTTACCGATTATGAAAGAGCTGGTTCCCCATTATCTTCAAGAAACTGGCAAGGTATATATGGACATCCTGTTTTGAGTATAATACGTATTTTAATTTTTTCCAAATCTAATTTTCTGGAATTTTTTCTTCCTTCACAATATATTCTGTATGTTTTCAATGTTTGATAGAAGTCTGACAAAACCTTGACTTCGTGACTAGTGGGAAGATGCTTTACTTTTGGAAATAGTCTAAAGAAAGTTCGTTTATACAAAGGTCTAGAGATGAATTCATTACCACAAATTTCCCCAAATTTCCCCCCTCCCACAAATCCCTGCAGGTGTAATTGCGTTACATGAATTATTTAGCTGCTGAAGTTTGTTGCCAGCCCATAGATCTCTAAGGGTTATGTTCTTGTCCGTAATAGTTTGATAGTTACATATTTGGTTTTATGAACTAACACTTCATCTCAATTTCTAAATTATTCTGCAGGAGAGGCTGGATTACTTGGAGGATGGACAAAATGTCTTTAGATTGCGGTTGCGACTATGCTCATCATTGTATCCCATTAGTGAGCGCATTAGAGATTTTTTTCTCGAGTATGACAGACACACTCTTCGCACAAGCCCTCCTTGGGGGTCTGAACTTCTAGAGGTGCCTTTGATTTTTTTTGAGCTTCTCATTTTTTTTTGTCCTTTTCTGTATATATTGATTTTATGTATCTTAAATAATGCCTTTGCATATATCCTATCTTTCTCATATCCTTTGTTGTATTTTCTGGATCCTCCAGAGCTGCAGTAAAAGTAATTGCAAACTTGTTTAAAATTATGCTTTGAGAAAAGAAGGCCAGGTCTGAAATCCCATCACACACTTCAGCCTTGTTTGGCTTGTTTTTTAGAAACAAATTTTTTAGAAATTTTTTTAAAATTTTGTTTGGTTTAGTGATTTTGGAATTTTTTTTCCCAAAATCAGTCTCTCTCTCCTACATATCAATTAATCACTTTTTCTCTTTCCTTTCTCATTCTCAATCACTTTTTCTCTTACACACATCTACTCAACCGCAACAAAACATCAAATCATTCCAAACTCCCATACTCAAAAACTATTTTCAAAATATAAAACCAAACAAACCAAAAAAATTTCTAAACTCTTTCTTCGAATTTTTAAAAAACATATTTATCTCCCAAAACCAAACCAAACACACCCTTCATGTTTCCTTGCATGCTGGAGCTATATGTTTTTAATTTAGTCATCAAATTATTACAATTGTGATTATGTGAAATTGCTATTACACTTCATGTTTCCTTGCATGCTGGAGTTGTAAATTATACACTTGTGTAATTATCTAAAATCGCTTCTATATTTGTTTTGTATTTTGCAACCATTCTGTTGTTTAAACATAGGTTCTAGTTTCAAGCAATTGTCAATAATCTGAATGGTTTGTTTGCTGAATCATGATAATTGTGCTGTCTGTTCTCAATATTGAGTGACATCAATTTGTATGAGTTTTTCTCATTCATTCCACATATGCCATAGCTTGAAACCCAAGTCTTTGATGTGCGCATGGATATTTTTAACTGAGTTTATGTTTATGTTTATTTTTTTTATATTTATGTTTATTTAGTTTTATTGATAGTTTAATTAGGATCTTAATGTATTTATTTACTTATTTTATTGGAGATTAAATTTTCAAAAAATGTTATGATTTAGGCATGGTTTAGGGTGTTTAAAAAAATCCAAAAAGTTACAAAAAAAGCAAAAAGTCATCACTATTCACAAATTAAAAATATTAAAAAATTAATATACATAATATTTTAATACAAACAAACTTTACACCACTCTAGGTACTGACAAGAAAGGAAAAAAAAAGAAAGTACGTATATATATTCAGTAAGTTGGATGGTAATGTTGGGCCGGTGGGGGCCCACCACGGGTCCCATTTTGATAATCCGAACCGTTTCAATATGTAGAACTCGTCCAGTACTAAAAGCCTGTAAAAAATCACGTTGATCGGATATCGCTAATTACATGATCAAATCAGTTTTGTATAAAAAATGGATGGTGTTATAGTTAACAGTTGACAAAAAAAACTAACACGATCAGATAGTTATCGATATCCAATCAATGTGATTTTTTATAAGCATATAGTACTCGACGAGTTCTACACATTCAATGGTTCCGATTAGCAAAACGGGACCCGTGGTGGGCCCCCACGGGCAGAACAACACCGTTCAATTCAAGCCCGAAAAAGAGGCAATCATTTCCCATCTCCTAACCAACGCACTACACTGCCCAAATTGTATGGCCCACTTCACTAACTTCTCCTATACACTTATTTATATAATTTTTTAATACACATTTTTTCGTAAAAAGTCAAAAAGTTAACCCAAATATCCATATTTTTTTCCTCAACTTTTTAGTCCAAAAGACAAAAAGTGCACTTATTTAGAACACCCCAAACAACCCCTTAGTTTCCTATTTTAATTAGGGTTTCTAAGCTATATAAATTAGGTTTTGCATTGTAATAGTTAACTTTGAATTAATGAAATTGAAAGTGTTTTAGCCTGTGACAGTGTGTTAGGGCTGTTGCTCTCTTCTCTTTTCTGAAGGTGCTCTACATCAGTCTTATATTGTGCTAAATGGGACTTCCTTATGTTCATGTGCACTTCAAAAATGTCCAAGCACCTAATCTCTGTAATGGTAAAAGTCATGGGAGTGCTAGTCCTCTATACTTAAATAAGATCAAAAAGCTAACTTTTTTGAAGCTAAGTTTGAGATACTTTTTTAAAGATTTTCATATATATTTATATACTGCTGCAAATAAGTTTTTACAAACTGCTTTAATCATTCTTGAGGCGTCACTTATTTGAATTTTATTCTATTACATGCTTATTCATTTTGTTATCTTTCTCAAAATTTCCTTTGTTGTCATATGCCTTTTATAAACTTATCTTGCAAATATCTAGACTTGTATACGAGTTATACATAAAACTTGCATGTCATTTTGTGGTTCCATAAAGCTTGGTTCACTTGGTTGTTGCTTTATGACAAAAGCGTCAAAATTTATTCTTGTTTTGGATTTGGAGGAAATCAAATGAGTTTTGCATTGCATTCAAACCTGCTATAGTGTTAGAGATTCTCATGCATTGTTATATTTCTGGAAGTTCAGTTTTGTCATGCATTTCTTCCAGCTTTCTTATTCTGTCAGATTCTTCGGGCAACCAACAGTTAAAATTTGCTTGCAGGCTATCAACAGTTTGAAGAATGTTGATTCCACTGCTTTGCTTCAGTTTCTTCAACCAATCTTGAATATGCTTCTCCACCTTATAGGCAATGGTGGAGAAACCCTTCAGGTTCTCTAATAATTTTTACCGAAACTTCTATATGTGATTTTTGTTATTATTCAGTTTGTCATATATGCATTACTCATTTTCATCATTAGGCTGTGAATATTTTTTTGACGTTTCAGTGGGAATGCTTAGCTTTTAACTGTAGATGTTTACTGTGAATCTATTAATTTTGGATTCAGAAAATATGCTTTCTTTGCTAAGCAATGCTATTTAATTTTCTGTTACCCTTTCTCTTTCAGGTTGCAGCCTTTAGAGCTATGGTTAACATTTTAACACGGTATGCTTTTTGTTATGGTTTTAAACCTTATGTAGTGTCAAAGTTGTGAATCCATATGTAACAAAGATGTTGACAGAAGTTATAGTGTTTCTGATAATTAAATATCTTTCATATTTAGTTGTGGTACTGCTGAAATATTGAGATTTTGGTGGAGATTAACATTGGGGGGAGGCTATTTTTAATGTCTATCTAGTAAAGGTGCTTCATTATGTGATGGGTTTGCTGCTTGGGATTTTGTTTTTAGGTTTATTTAAAAGACTTAAGATATCTTGGAGCTTCTTGATATGCTTTCCTTAATTCAGGAGTTGAGGAATTGCAGATTAGGTAGAAGATTATGGATTCCAATTGGTACCTTTCTAGGAGCCTTCATTGGTCACGTGAAGATTGATTGCCTCCAATGCCATTTGAATTGTTGAAGAACTTTATTAAGTGTTTTTCTCTCCATGGTCTGAAATATTGAGTAGAGCTGTCCTTGTTGATTAATGATCTTGGTGGGATGGGTTACAGCGAAGAGTTATGTGATGTGTGACTGGGACAGATGGTAGTACATGTTTGTTCATTATTTTCTCCTTGGAGTTTTGTTTTTCATCTGTTGCTTTTGTTTGTCTTCCCCGTTGCTTCTGCCTCCTGCTTGGTACCATCAGCAATAGTCCATTGGACAGACAGTCTTTCTGGCTTTATTTAATAGTTTTAAGCTAAATTTTGTGCTCGGCAAGACTCGGGAGAGTAGTTCCCAATGTCTGAACAGCAGATGGAGTTACAATGGAACTATTTGGATGTCATAGGATGTCATCTGTGCCCTGAAAAGTAAAATATTTAAACAAAATTATTTTATCTGTTGAAAGTATTATGATGGTTAATTCTGAAGTTTGATGACATTTAATGCATTTATAACAAGACGAAATCATGTTTTCTACATCAAATTTGATCTTGTGCGATATTGACCAATAAATATGATATTCATGATTACCTGCTTACAAGTGTATGCATAATGCATCTATGGAAATGGTTTTGCCTTTGCTATAGCTTAATTTATTTGTCTTGATGAGAAATGCATTATGGTGTAGCCTTTTGTGGTTGATTATTTTTGATCAGTGCTGTTCAGCATCTAATGTCTGATGTTATGTGGAACTCTATTCTGTAGGGTGCAGCAGGAGTCGGTTGATGAAGCTGAAAGGAATCGGTTTCTAGTGAACTATGTGGATTATGCTTTCGATGATTTTGGAGGTCGTCAACCACCAGTTTATCCCGGTTTGTCTACTGTATGGGGAAGTTTGGCTCGCAGTAAGGTATCCCACTGATTGCTATTTTTGTTAAGATATCTAGTGTCTTATGGTCACCCCTTGTTAGTATGATTATCTATGGGCTTCCTTTGTTTGTCTTTTAGTAATGGTGTTTCTTCTCCTTGTGATTCAAATGGTAACAGTAACATTGGCGGTTTTTATTCTGTTGCTACATCCAGCATTTCAAAGACATTCATTTAATTGCATATTGTTATTTTACTCGTTTAAGTATTTCTTTTTCTAGGCCATACCATGAGAAATGCTTTAAGGAGCTATCTTCAAACATGTTTAAATGTATTTTGGTTGTCTATTTCTTGTTGGTAGAATTTGTTTAATTTTCACTTTTCAATAGGCAGCATTATGTCCAACTCTTCAATTTTTCATTTTTTATTTTTATTTTTGTATACTTATTATTATTCTTTTAATTGTGAATGTCGATAAGCAAGATACAGCTCATTGTGTCCCACCAGCCAGGACATGTCCTTGCAATTCTGTGGTAGCTTTTAACCAATTCAAGAAAAATGATAGCATGTTTGGTAGTTACAATCCAAATCTACTTTAAAAACATTAATTTGCCAAATTTGTTATAGTTGATCCATGATGGTTCTCATAGTGAAGGGAGAATAGCAACTTTGTATGTGGAAGTGGGGTTATGTGGTCAGTATCGGCAGTGGTTTGGTTGTACTCATGCAGGTATAGTGGTAGAGCTTGGTGAGTGGTGTTGGCAACGTCGTTTCCTGGCGAGGCAAGTTGTGTCATGCTCTAACTTCAGTGCACGAGGCTTGACATGATTTCATCTATAGTTTCAAAAGATCCTTTTGTTTTGTCATCTCAATTTTTTGTTGGCCCTAGTTTTGTTTTGGACTTCAAATGTTTTGTATCCGTTCTTTCTTTTAAAAATGAAAAAATTAATTTCAGCACTTCATCCATGCATACTGTGATTGCTATGGTGTATCAAGGTCTGATTTTCTTTCAAATCCTTACTGGACCATAGAGGAACTTATATAATGCAAGCTGCAAATGCAATTGGTTTATGGTGGGTTTTGGTCAGGGAAATCTTGTATGTTTAGCACTCTAATAAATTAAAAAAAAATAAAAAAATAGAGATAGTAAGGTTTATGAATTTCAAGGGGTTGCAATTGGCTTGGTTTTCAAGAGGGTGTGTTGCCGGACTTTTGAAAATCATATTGTTGTAGCATTGGACAACCAATAAATTAGTGATTTAAGTGTTAGATTGAAGGCCAAGTGGTAGTGGAAGGGGTTAAGGTTTGCTAGGCATTTGATAGGCTACAGTTTTTGGGCTGAAATAGGGTCTGTTTGAGAACTGTGAACTAGTACTGTAGGAATCATAACTCATTTTCTTTGGAAGTGAGAATGAAGGTACCAAGAAGAGAGGAAGAAGAGGAGAAACAAAAGGAGGGCTTTACCGTCGCAAAGGCTAAGAAAAATTAAACAATCATAGCTCAAATTCTCATAATTCAACTCTAATTGAATTTAAAGATTACATGCCTATATATAAGTTGCTATAGTTGTACTACTAGAACTAACCCTGTTCTACTACTAGAATGAGCCCTGTATTTGAATTCAAACTTATGGAAGGGGAAAGAGAAAGGAAGAGACAGTAAGTGAGATATTTAGGGAAAGTGATTATTTTTCTGATTGGTTTGGCATGCAAAAGAAAGGTAAATGAGAATGAAAATAATTTTTTCTTGTTTGCTGAAGTTCCTGGTTTATCCCTTTTCTTGTTATGACAGTCGGAATAAACGCCTACTAACATGATTAAACTTGTGGTTTTGACTTCCGTCAACTACAATTAATGCATTTAAATTTTTTTTTTTTTAATGTTCATTCTGTAGTCATATTAATAAGATTTAGTATTTTACTTGTGTTAGTATGTATATTGTATGTTTTGTGGTGTTATGCAAAAGAGATTTGTTGACACCAACTGCTCTATCACTTCGTGGCTCAATATTATATATTGGTTTCTTTCAATCAATTTTGTTCTTTTAATAGTATGAGTTTATCTTGTAGGCCAAAGGTTACCGTGTAGGGCCTGTATACGATGATGTCTTGGCAATGGCGTGGTTTTTCCTTGAGTTAATTGTCAAGTCAATGGCTTTGGAGCAAACTCGTCTGTTCTATCACAACATTCCACTTGGTAAGTATCAGTTTAAAGAATGTTTCTGTGACTTACAATGACCAAAACATTTTTTTTTTGGGGGGTGGAGAACTTTCAGTTGCCATGCAGTGCCATGTGTCGCAACATGATAGAAGGTTGGATTCCATAATAATTTTAAGTCAGTACCTGAAATATCTGAAAATTATTCCGGGATACTTTTCTTATAGATACAGGAATTATTGATGTTGAGAACATATTTGAGCCTTTGAGGTTGATTTGGTTGACAAGGAAAGTTGGGTGTGTTAGGGAAATTCAGTAACAACCGGCAACATCGGGTGTTTGTTCTGACAATTTTATAATTGATGCAGTACAAATAATCTAAATTAAGATGAAGATATCTACAATCACTTAAACTAAAGAAACCAGTATTCGTACATTATTTCCCACTTACCTGAAGATAGAATTTCCATCTGTCTGAGAGAAGTATCTTCTCTCTCTTTTCCTCTCATTCAGAGTCTCAAAGTGGGAGGTGAAATGTTTGTTGGAGTATTTTGGAGATGAAGTTTATAGGGAAAGTTTGCTTTACCACAAAACACAGTATCATTCTACTCTTTGGAGAACTTATTCTTTTGGATATTTCAGTAGTTACTCTGAACATCAAAGAAGGTTTTATTGCACTTTCGGTAAATACAACTCTTTTCCAGAGAATATTCTTGAGCACCAAAGGTATTCTTGAAGCATCATATAACACTAGGCAGAAGTGTGACTTCATATGTGACGAAAATCTTTATGACTAGCTTTTCTACCTGTAATTGCCACTACATTATTTGAGGGGAAACAGTTGCAATGCCTCCAAAGCATGAACAGTTGCAAACTTGCAATGACTTCATATAGTGCTAAACAGTTGCAATACAATAAAGCACAAACTTTGGTTCATTCTTTAGTAATGTCTCCAAAGCACTTCATCTTGCAATGCCTCTTTGATTTCAAGACTAAACTATACTCAGATGTATCAGGCCAGTCACCAGTGTTGCTTCATTACAAAAAAAAAAAAAAAACCTCCCTTCAAATGGCATGTAGTGATGATGTAGAGTGCTGACAATAAATCTCAATTGGTTTCATTGATATCTCATTTCTATACAGCTGTATCAATATTGATGATACTCTCTGTCTCTTGAACTGCCAATTTTTGAAAGTTCTTGGAAAGTTATCTTGATTCCCTTCTGTTACTCTTCTTCTATCCTTGGTACAAATCTTCCAACCCTAAGTTTTAGATACTTTACAAGCCTAGTCAAAAGTGCTACTGTCTGTCAGATATAACATGACTCTGATACAGCTCCAATTCACCATGACACTTTTTGGAGCTACCTTGAGTCTTAAAGATTGCAAAGATGCTGGAGATGTATGATTTTCCTTATAGTAACAGATGAATAATTTTGTTCTTTTAATGTTGAATTTCCACAGAAGGGAAAAGAGGGAAGGTTGGCTGAGTCATTCCCATAATCCTACCACCACAAGAAGAAAAGAACCTGGAAAAGTAGAAACCCACCCTAATGCCATGAAAAGGGAATGGTGCCTCAACCATCATACGTGTTCATTCTAGTGACACCTTTGAATGTGGAAAACAAGGACCTAAGAATGTGGAGAATGTGGGCGTTCATTCTGTTTGAAATTCTAATATAGAATGAGGTTTCATCACTATTACTTGGAACGTGTCACAATGAACACAGATTATTTCGCTACATGGAATGGGAATGTGGTATATCACATGATCAAAATGTAGTACAATAGGAGCAAGCTTATGTAGATCACAATATTAGAATGCGTAAAGGTACTTCTAAAGTATGAGAATGTTTTCTTTTAGGATTTAGATATTTAATGAACTATAATTGGCTAACTTGTATTTCTACTTTTGATTTTCTCTTTTATTCAAATAAATCATATAAAAACACAGTCTATGTGAATCTTGTATAAATTGAGCTATGGATGCAATCAAAGTTTTAAAAGGCTTTACTGAGCCTCGCCTAAGGAAAAACGCCTCAAGGATTTGGTTTTTGGGCTTTACTCCCCAAAGGCTTGCACACATAGTTAGAGACATGCGCCTTAAGTGCGTCTTGTACGCCTTTTACGCATAAGCATGTGAGGAGTACACATATGAAGAGTTTGTCTTAGGTTCTTGTTAAACTTTATCTATTAAATGGTTTAGACATAAAGTAAAAAGTAAAAGAGAACCCATTTTTCAGCTATATTCTATAGGAAAAATTAAGTAAATGACCAATCAAGAAAAAGCACAGTTAATGCTCAGTGAGAAGCTCAATCACTAAAGCTAAGAATACCAATTTCACTTTCAAAAGAGCAAAGGTTCCTTTTCTGCAGTGAGCCTTGAGCGAAAAAGTGTTTACACCTTTATATTTAATTTTGATATATTTATTTATTGTTTTACAATATTTAAATCATTTACTAAATATAAAAATTCAGAATTTGAAATGGTTACGCCTAAACACCTCATGGCTTACTCCTCACCTCATGAGGAGTAAAACACCTCGCATTACACATTTGACTTTAAAAACTTTGGGTGCAATATGGCACCTTCTCTTTAGATATTCTCCCACCAAACTCAACTCTCTCTTGAATTTAATTCATGATATGTATATATTTTTTTTTGTAAGAAAAACTTTGGGAAAATAAATTGAGAAATATAAATCGGTGAGTTGTTAGGTTTTATTTATTTTTATTTAATTATTTTTTTGACTTGATCCTTAAAAAGACTTCATTCTTATACTTTCTTTGATCCAAACCGATGCTATTTTATGACGAATAAGTGTCACAGAATTTGAATTAGCTTTGAATCACTTTACTTTCTCTTGTATTGATTTTTCCTTTTGGTGATAGGCAATCATATGTTAAAAGATTTATTTTCATTTTGTGCAATAGGTGAAGATGTTCCACCAATGCAGGTGAAAGAAGGTGTTTTCAGAGTTATTATGCAATTATACGATTGTCTTCTAACAGAAGTGCATGAGCGTTGCAAGAAGGGGTTAAGCTTGGCTAAACGTTTGAATAGTAGTTTGGCCTTCTTTTGCTATGATCTTTTGTCTGTTGTTGAGCCTCGCCAAGTTTTTGAACTGGTATGCTTTCTCCTTATGTGGTATTTCTCGATCCTTTGTTCTCACTTTTCCTGTTAACAAGCATGATATTGTACATGCTGTAATGTATGTTGCGCTGGTATTGATGCAAATCTCAGGGATAGCATTAACAAGACCAAAAGACATACATTATATTAAAATACAATGGTAAATGTGGAAAATTCACTGAATACACTAAAACGTATTGCACATAATGAATTGAATTACATCACATATGCACGAGGAAAAGCTTAACAAGAACGCTAAAACGTATTGCACATAATGAATTGAATTACATCACATATGCACGAGGAAAAGCTTAACAAGAAATAACATTGCTGCTGATATTCTTTCTTTTGGATGCATACATTGTTCTTAATGAATCCTGCCAATAACAGAAAGAAAAATTTGAAGTGTCATGCAATAATCCATGGTTATAGTCTATAGTCTAATGTGCTTTCTAAGTAAATATTTCACTAATCATGGTTGAAGTTCAAAAGAAAATGCATATATTACCATGGTGCTTTCAACTGCCTGATCACTTCAATGTTATGGACTTGGTTTTAGTAGATAATTAATAGTATAAATGTATAGGAAAATTCCAATATTACGGATTTAATTTTGACAAATTTAATAGTATAATTTTAAAGGAAAATGGAAATATTATGGACTAGGCTTGAGACGAAATGTAATGAGAAAAAAATTAATGAAAAATGGCAATATTATGGACGTAGGTTTTGACATAAAACTTAGGGTTTGGTGGCAGTGGTGTTGGTGGGGATTGGGCGATTTTGGTGGTGATGGTGGTTGGTGGAAAAGGGTCATTTGGTGCTCGTTGTGGCTTTTGGTGGTCGAAAAAGGTGGCAGACTATGAAACACTGATACTTCAAAACAAATGCCAAGGGGCGTTAGATACAGGGACACGTATGGGGACATGCCACGCGGCGTTCCCCTTTACTTAATTAATTTATTTTTAGGGAACACTAGGTTTTTTCTCCCCTTTTCTGTAGTGCTTTTGATGGATGTTGGATTTTGAATGTTTATTACGTTTTGCTTAGATTTAAATACTTAACAGATCATTCATAAAAAAGATGTAAATAATAAGTGTTAATTTAAAAGTGATTCTTTTGTTTTTGTTATTTTGTTATTATTTATTATTTTTATTTTTATTTTTTATTTTTAAATATTGAATTAATGTTTGTTTTTGTTAATTTTGATTATTTGTGGATGTAAATATTAATTTACATAGCAAATAAAAATATATGAAGAAAAAAATTTATTGCCTAAGAAGCACGGATACGGACATGTGGACATGTAAATTTTCAATAAATAAGGGACACGACACGCTGGGTACACTCAAAATATATAATTTTACTTATTTATTATGTCATAAAATTTAAAAAAAATTTGAAAAGTAATAAAAAAAATACAAAATAACATGAACAAATATTTTAAAAAATATATATATACAATTCATCAATTTCAGCACTTTACCTAATAAATAAATTGAGCAATTTCAAGAAATTTATTTTTTCTTCAAATAAAAATAATTTGCTCTATGCATGTTAGGGCCAAAGATGAATATTAAAAAATAGAGAGGTTGTCAAATTTTTGTTCCTATCCAATAGCTGACCTCATAAAAGGGGTTCAGAAAATATATAATTAAAGATGAAAGAGAGAAGAAAAAAAAGAGAGAAAGAAACGGGAGGGGAGAGAGAGAGTCTAAAGGAAAAAAAGGAAAGAAGAAGACAATGAAGCAAAGAGAGAAGAACAAAGACGATAAGACGAAGAAGAGGAGAGAGAAAGAGAGAGAGAGAGAGAGAGAAACCTAAATGTGAATTTGTGATTGCTTCAATAGGGGCATTCAAAAGCTTCAACAGCTTCGCCTAGGGTTTACAGTTGAGCGACTTCCTCTCTCTCTCTCTCTCTCCTCGCAGTGCCTCTTAAGTGATTGAGCGTGTCCGCAAAGTGTCCGACTGGAAAAAAATCAAAAAATTTTTTGGACACGTTAGAGAGAGTGTCTGACACGTGTCCATCATGTGCCCACCGCGTGTCCGTGTCCGACACGTGTCAGACACCCATACGTTGCCGCTGGAGAGGTGTTTGTGCTTCATAGTTTATTGCCATGTCCTCGTTGTGTCCGTGTCCCTAATTTTTTGAAATCACCATGTCTGGTGCCTGTGTCTGTGTTTGTGCTTCTTAGGTGGCAGATTTTGGTGGTGCTTTTGGTGGAGAGGTTGTGATGATGGGGATTTTGGTGGTTCATGGTGATGGGGAAGGTGGTGGTTTCGGCGGAGGTGCCGGTCAATGGTGGGGAAAAGGCAGTGGTCTGTGGTGATGGTGGAGGTTCTTGGTGCTGGCTAGGTGTTGAAGATGGTGGTTAGGTGGGATAAATCCCATCTTAAACTTACCTATGTGAAACATTTTGATTAGCAGTTACAATAAGAAAAATGTTTTTCTTTATAAAAAGAAATGGCATGGGCTTTTTTATTTTCTTTTGAAATATCCTTGATTCCACCACCATGTTTGGACGGCATCCCTCCTGGGGTCCTAATAATATTAGATTGTGTTTTGGGAACCAAATCGACACAATTGAGAGGTTAGGGATCTAATCTCAAGAGGTTGGCCTGGTGGCAAGGCCTTAGGTCTTGGGAATGTGCTTCCTCTAAGGTTCAGGGATCGAAACCTTTTAGGTGCTACCAGTGTCTTGGAGCTATCGCACTGGGAGAAAACCCTTGAATTAACCGTGGTACACTTGCAGGAAACTCCTTCCTGAGGGCCTGTGCACCCTTGGGAATTAGTCGGGCTTTGATCCGGATAACCTGGTGCCAATCCAAAAGAAAAAATTTGAGAGGTTAGGGATCTGAATGATACAAAGCGTATATTTTGGAGGATCAAAATGTAATTAACCCTAAAATTTTGACAGTATAATTTTTTTTAAAAATGGCAATATTTCCATGTTGGAGAAATGTTCATGTACAAAAGAAAGACTTGCATAACAATTTACCTTCTTTTGAATGAATGCCAATGTCTTGCTGTGCTCAATATTATTTTAAACAACTCAAACCTGAATTCAGTTATATTTTCTGAATTTCAGTGTTTGATTATATTCCTAAAACTATATATGCCTGTCTCTTGTGTGTCCAATTCAGTTGTGTGTTATCGAACTTCCAAGTACCAAGTGCAATGATGACAGGAAATAGAGGCATGTCTTTCTAGTTTTTTTGCAGTTACTGTTTGTTTGGTATGGATTTACCTTTTTGTCATTTCTTGCAGGTGTCCTTGTACTTAGATAAGTTCTCTGGGGTATGTCAACCAGTTCTGCATGACTGCAAGCTTACATTTCTGCAGATCATATGTGATCATGATCTGTTTGTGGAAATGCCTGGGCGAGATCCTTCGGATAGGTACCTTACTAATTAATTTCAAACCCCCACCCTTCTACCCTATATTACATGGACTCTTCTAGATGTATGAACTTAGTACCCATATCAAACACTCAACACTTGGGTATGGCCCGTATGGGTGAGATATGTGTGCAACATGTGTAGTTGGACATTTACCTAGCAAGCATAATGAGTAATTCAAGTTAACCTTAAAATTATGCCTAAAACGATCATATTATGCATGAAATGCTCTATGACACATTGTGAACATCATTTTACCTTAGAAAATAAAAATATAATATATATTAAAAAATATCAATATATTTTTGTGTTACCGTCTCTTTGGACGTGAGAATTAGATGAATCCAACACTTGAGATCATATCCACACTCATAATAGAGCCCATGTAACTCCCACCTTTTCCTTTGTTCTATTTGGATTCTTCTTGTTTTAATGTAGAACAATAGTATTGTGATTATCATGACAATGATCCTTCATATCTATGTTATTTGTTAGCTTGTGTCATGACTTTGAGTGATGTATGGATTTTCATATCTAATAATTGTCACATTGCAGGAACTACCTTTCATCTGTCTTAATACAAGAGCTTTTCCTTACTTGGGATCATGATGACTTGTCTCAGAGAGCAAAAGTGAGTGCAGTATGGATATTTGATTAGATCTTCATTTCAAATGATTGCTTTAATAATCTACTTGGTGGATATGTTATCCTTACTTTTTACCAGCACAGATTCTATCCTTATTTGAGTATTTGAATATTAGTTTCTCATAGTGTTTCCTTATGATTTTTGTAGGCAGCTAGAATCCTGGTCTTTCTTCTGTGCAAGCATGAGTTTGATGCTCGATACCAAAAGCCTGAAGATAAACTATATATAGCACAGCTATATTTTCCGCTTGTTGGCCAGGTGCACAGCATTTGTCATATCTCATAGTACTGTATATGACTATTCTTTTCTTATGGAGCCTCTTCTTGCTGAGATTTGCTATCATTTTATGTCAAGTTCCTAAACTATCTTATCAGTTTCAGCTGTTCTAGTAGTACTTGGAATTCTAGAACACTCAAAACTCCACAAGCTGTAGTCCCAAACACTTGGGGTCAGCTACATGAATCTGGTTTTTTCAGATTCTTAGGATATATGTACAGGAGGTGTGACTGTAAGCACATTTACCATATACGTATTACAGGCTAGGGACTAGATGTCTGAAGGACCAGGCCTAAGCACAACACAAGAAGAGTTATAGAAGTATAGAATGCTTTTCATAATAGCATAGGAGATGGGCTTAAGTTCTTATTACTATAAAAAATAGTATCTCTCTAATGCTACAAGTTTCTTGAATAAATAGTCCTTCAGCAAAGTGTCAGCAAAAGAAATTTTATGCTTGTGTTGGTCTTTATGTGTTCGTGTTATCTTGAGTCAATGAACTCAAACATCATGTTTTTGTATGGTTCACTTTTGTACAATTGACTTGATACCAATGGATGATGAGTTACTGTGGAAGAGGATAACTATTGGATATTTCTTCTTCTTCCCTCCAGATAATATTGCTGCATTTGGTTTTCTCTACTGTGTGTGTTTGTATTTGTATTTTGTGTCCAAAGGCTTGGCCACGTGGGGGAAGCAACCGCACTTCAACGCATTAGAATACATTATGATAACTGTATATTTTGGATGTTGAATCTATATTACATTATAGTAAAAATCACATTCTCAATCCAAACAAAAAATATTGAACCTATAATTTTTTTCTGCCACCCTTGAAGAGTTTTAGTAGAAGACTTGAAAAATTGACCTCTCTACGCTACTAAGGGAGGAAAAGAAAATGAAAAGAAAAGATGCACACATTATTCCTAATATATTTTTAGCTTGAGGAAACATAGGTTACACATTGGTTCTGAACTTTTGCAATACAATGGTCTCGTTTGGGAAGTGGCTACTTTTTAGGTTTTTAGGTTTTTTGGCTATTTGACTATTGTAGTAGGCTATTTTAGTTTTTGTGTTTGGGAAGATAGATTGAATTTTTTGTTTGATTGTTGTATTGAAAAATGTGTTTGAAATGATATTAGGATAAAAAATAATTAAATTATCCTCAAAAAGTTATGGGGTACTTACGTGTAGGTCCTAATAAGTGAATTTATTGTCTAGTAGGTCCTATGAAAAAAATTTGTTATAAAAAAATGTCACTAATTGTAAGTTTTAGTGACAATTTATAAAAATCATGATAAAAAAAGTCACTAATTGTCAATTTTTAGTGACATGTAAAAAATTGTCACAAAAAAAATATTTTTAGTGGTAATTTTATCAAAACTTATTTTCAATAGGACTTGATGGAAATTAAGTCTAACTATTAGTACCTATTAGTAGTTTACCCAAAAGTTATTCTTGACTTGATAATTGATGTGTTGGGATATGAAATGACCAAATTGCCCGTGTGTTGGAATGCTAAGCTGGTGTGTTAGTCAAAAATTAAAGGGGCAAAATTGTAATTTCACCCTCTGTCCTGCACAGCCATGAAACTCGTGCCAAGCCTCAGCTACAGTTTCTGATAAAAAAAAAAACCTCAGCTACAGTAAAGCTTTTTGGCTATTTGTTTGAATGAGGCTACAATAGCCTAGTGGACCGTTTCCCAAACAATGCCAATAATCCCACCTCTTATTCAGATGGTACCATTAAGCTTAGTAGCATTTTTTGTACACAATGTATGATGACATTCATATAAGTTGTGTTTTACTTTGCAATCATTTTTTCTTGAAAGAGAGATCTAATAACATATTCGAAATTGGAATAATCTCTTTTGGTGTCACAACGTACTTGCTAAGCATCATCAATTTAAGCAAAAGAATGATGCACTTGCTCCAAGATGACAATGACATAAATATTTGGATCTTCTTAATAAAACATTTACATTCGGAAGAATATTTTTAAATTAAAATGCTCAAAAATTGATCGTCTTTGATAGGGAACCATGGGTGCAATTAGAGAATGATTGTGCTGTGATATTTTGATTGACAAAAGAGAAGTAAACATGCCTAAAATCCATGTATAATCACTCTTGATACTGCATTCTTAAACTAAAATTCTTGTAAGAATGTCATGTGCTGAGCTTTATTGCTTGCTGGTAGTTTTTTTTTTTTTGCTTTTTTCCCTGTAAATATTCTTTTATTTATTTTTCATTTTAATGTGAGAGAGTTTGCAAAGACAGAGAAAGAATATATATAAAAGGAAAGATATGCATATGGAAAGCGAAAAATATATAGTAAGTTCAAATTGTTGACAATAATCTATGAACTTAATTTTGTAGGGAGTCTTTCTATATATATAGAGGCATATATACATGTTTTCTTTAAAATTAAAAAATCTAAAAAATTGGAATGGGGTTGTTGAGGAGGGGGTTAGGAGAGTGAAATCACCCTATGGATTTTTAAGATTTTAGAATTTTGAGAAAATTAGAATGAGCAATTTCAGACCTAGGAGACTCCATTTCTTTGCCATGGAGGGATTGTAAAAACTACTCAAGACTCTTCCCGTGTATCCTAAATGATTAAACATCCAAAAAGGAAACGATGGAGAAAATATATTAAAGACTCTTAGTTGACTGCAACTACTGCAATTAGTTTGATTGCCTTGTCCTCCATTCATGGGTCCCATGTCAAATGTGTCGCAACATGATAGAATCTGCTATGGCTATTGTTGAAGGGATTTATGTTAAAATACATGAAGAAATTAAAGTAGTAAACTATTGCATAAGTTGAGACCTATATGTATCTATTTGAACAAAGTGCCTGGACAATATCTAATTAGGAGTGAAACACAAGTGCCACAAAATAATTTTGAGAAAGGGATGCTTTGGCTACACATAAAAACATTTTGCTGGCAGATTATCTTTGGTTGGTTGTAGAATTGATTGGTTGGGATTTTTGTTTTTGAAGGCCAATTGGGAGGTAGATGCCCTTTCATAGTGATATGTTTTCTTTCTTTTTCTCATACAACTCTGCATTTTCAGAGCAAATGCATTTCTCCACTTGTGTGTTTTACGTTGAATAACTTGTACGAGGATGAAAGGTTAAAGAAGATAAGGAATGATCTTCATTGTGTCACGTTGGGATCATCTTGGCTGTCTCTTGGACCACATAGTTTGAGATTGTAACACGTGATTTCAAATCTTGTGTCCACTTCCATGAAAAAAATTGCAAAAAATGATTTTGTGATAGTAACATCTTTATATTCCTGGCAAAAAATACCAATGACATTAACTAGAACAGTAACATAATGAATCGTCTTAGTTAATGATTTATTATTATCAACTTTGTTCAAGGTGGATGGGTTTCTGTTCTGAGTTCTCATAGCTTTAGCTGTAATTTTTGTGACAAGTAATTGGTTCTTGTGTCCTAATACTACTTGCTTGTTATTATTCATATAGTTGTCTGAAGTTGTAGTCTTGTTTGTCTTTGCAGATTCTAGATGAAATGCCCGTCTTCTATAACCTGAATGCCATTGAAAAGCGTGAAGTCTTAATTGTTATCTTGCAAATTGTACGCAATCTGGACGATGGATCACTTGTCAAGGCTTGGCAGCAAAGCATTGCTAGGACCAGATTGTTTTTCAAGCTCTTGGAGGAATGCCTAATCCTATTTGAGGTTCTCATATATTTAGAGTGTTATTTCCTTTTGATGATGTGACTTGATTCTGCTAGTTGATATAAATAAGTGTTTGCTATCGAAAAAGGATGTTCTTTGATGTATACTTTCCATATTTGTTGCTTCATGTAATACGTACATGTACTGTTCATGTTGATAATTATTTTGATAGATTTGCATGCTATGTTATTATTGCTGTTGGTCATTTTGTTTACGTTACTAATTTCATATCAAATTGTGCAGCACAGAAAACCAGCCGATATCATGCTTGTGGGAAGTAGTTCTCGCAGCCCAGCTGGGGATGGACCTACATCCCCAAAGTACTCTGATAGACTTTCTCCTGCAATTAACCAGTATCTGACTGAGGCTTCACGGCAAGAAGTCAGAGTGAGTTTGCTGTCTCTATTGTTCTTGTTACTCTTCAAGTTTAATGCTTTACTTATTTGTATCTGCCACTTGAGAGAGCTCATTTTTTTTAGTAATAATATTTTGAAGTTCCTTGACAAGTCCTGATGCTAATGTTTTCTAATGAGTCATTACTTCGTATGCATCCTTTAATAACTTGAATATTTATTTTAATGCAGCCTCCAGGAACCCCTGAGAATGGTTACTTGTGGCAAAGAGTCAATTCACATCTCAGCTCCCCTAGCCAGCCATATTCCTTAAGGGAAGCTCTTGCTCAGGCACAATCTTCTAGGATTGGAGCTTCTGCCCAAGCACTAAGAGAATCTTTGCACCCGATATTGAGGCAAAAACTGGTATACTGTTCTGTGGAAATTGCTATTAAAGAATGCAAATGGTGATGGTTTGGTGTCATTTTTTGTTTTGTTGCCACAACCTCTTATTTCTTCCTACAAATAGGATGGGGAAAAAAAGGGAGGAAGAAAAATAAAGGGCAAGATAAAAGAAAAGAAAATAGAAAACTTGGCTTCTTCTAGACTTTATTATTAGTCAGTGTTTTCTAGTTACTCTTGGTGTCTAATAACTGTTACATGAACTACAGGAACTTTGGGAAGAAAACTTGAGTGCTTCTGTCAGTCTTCAGGTTTTGGAAATAACTGATAAATTTTCCACGACTGCATCATCTCATAGCATTGCTACTGATTACGGAAAACTTGATTGCATCACATCCATATTTACGAGCTTCTTCTCTCGAAGTCAGCCATTGGCTTTTTGGAAAGCTTTGTTTCCTGTGTTCAACTGTGTATGTGATCTCCATGGCGCAACACTACTAGCAAGGGAAAATGATCGCTTCTTAAAACAAATTGCTTTCCATCTTCTCCGGCTTGCAGTTTTTAGAAATGATAATATTAGGAAAAGGGCAGTTATTGGGCTACTGATACTTGTCCGGGTAGGGTTATGAATGTTCACTTGAGCGCATCTCCTTCTAGCTGTTTGTTCTAGCTTCAATTATCTTGTCGATTTTTTTGCATGTTGACTAAGGTTGATTTCTTCCATTTTGCAGAGCTCTTTCGCTTACTTTATGCAGACAGCAAGGTTAAGAGTTATGCTGACTATTACATTGTCAGAGTTGTTGTCTGATGTGCAAGTGACTCAGATGAAGTCTGATGGAACACTTGAAGAAAGTGGCGAAGCACGGCGTCTCCGTAAATCTTTGGAGGAAATGGCAGATGAATCTAAGAGCCATAACCTGTTAAGTGAGTGTGGACTTCCGGAAACTGCACTTACTGCAGTTCCAGAAAGAACAGCAGTGAATCCGTGGTCATGGTCAGAAGTGAAACATCTCTCTGACAGTCTCCTCCTGGCTCTTGATGGTAGCCTGGAACACGCACTTGTGGTAAATTCTGACATACTTTATCATGGCTGTGACATGTGTGATAAGTATAAATGCCATTACCAATATAATTTTGGATGCATTTTCTTGCAGGCACCTGTGATGAACATGGATAGATATGCAGCTGCGGAGAGCTTCTATAAACTTGCAATGGCATTTGCTCCTGTACCAGATCTTCACATAATGTGGCTATTGCATCTATGCGATGCACATCAAGAGATGCAGTCTTGGGCTGAAGCTGCACAGTGTGCTGTTGCTGTTGCTGGTGTCGTCATGCAGGTAGCTTACAGTCATATGTGAAAACTCCGAGTTTGTAGAAAAAAGATAAGTATTGTATTATTGAATTGACCAAAAGGAGATGACAAAAAGTTTATAAATAATGTAAACTAAACAAACCCTAATAAGATAAGCAAAAGACTATGCTACCCTTAAGCTAAATAATAAATAATTATAAATAATGTAAACTAAACAAACCCTAATAAGATAAACATAAGACTATGCCACCCTAAAGCTAAATATTAAATAATACGTGCTTAACAGTATGGTACTTGGATTGACTGGCATATGGTCATGCTTAATAGAATATTTTAAACCCTGAAGGTCTTGCATGTGTTCCTACTTGCAAAAGATGGAACTGCCTCTGTTTTATGCTTTAAACATGTAATTAAAACAGGGTACCATATGACCAAATAAGTAGGATCGCAGCTTTTTCTTTGTGTTCTCAGCTTGACTTTACTCTGAGAACTAAGACCTACTCAAGATAGCCTCTTCATGGTAACCCTGATCTTTTCAGTGTTTTAAAAGGCTCCTGTTTATTTTATAAATCTCACTCTAAAAACATAATCAATAATTGGCTTAATAATGTTTGTTTTCATTTATTATCATGATGAAGCACATTCATTTGCTTATGTAGTAGGCATGCTGTCTTTTGGCATCTTGATTTTTGAGGAGTGCTGCCAGATATTTCTTGTCCATGTCAAAACTTGATAACTAGATCTGTCTAGAAATCATAATTTCCCTGGAGATCGCTCGAATGTCCATTCTATGTTGTCTTGTTCTTCTTCCCTTCATAGTTACAAAATGTTCCTATTGACTTTGTCTCCCTTATAATCCTTGTATAATACCCTCTTTTATAGAGGGGATGTTGATAAAATCAAAATAAATTGCCACAGCAAAACCACGAATAGATTTAACTCTATTCGAAAGCATGTTGAGATATTCCTATTATGTTAAAAGTCATAATTGATAAAATCACGTCAGTTGAGACATTCCTGAATTTCACTGCCATAATATGTTGCTTATGTACGGGCCTTCCTTTCCTGTAGATTTATTCTGTTGACTAGGCATTAAGAGTTAGGGATTGGTAAAATTCATGCTCAAGTACTGCAACCAACTCCCCCCCCCCCCCCCCCCCAAACCAGTATTTTATGTTACTGATGCTTACATAGCTGTATCCCTTTATTTGCTCATTTGTGTAATTCAATTCTCTTATAGGCCCTTGTGAGCAGAAATGACGGTGTCTGGAGCAGTGATCACATAACTGCTTTACGTAAAATATGCCCAATGGTCAGCAATGAGATATCTTCTGAAGCCTCAGCAGCTGAGGTAGAAGGATATGGTGCTTCAAAACTCACTGTTGACTCTGCTGTAAAATACTTACAGCTTGCAAATAAGCTTTTCTCTCAAGCCGAACTCTTCCATTTTTGTGCAAGTATTCTGGAACTTGTAATTCCAGTTTATAAGAGCAGGAGGGTATACGCACAACTGGCAAAATGCCACACAATGCTAACTAATATCTACGAATCAATCCTTGAACAGGAATCAAGCCCAATACCATTCACCGATGCAACATATTATAGGGTTGGATTCTATGGTGAAAGATTTGGGAAGCTAGATAGAAAGGAATATGTATATCGAGAGCCTCGTGATGTAAGGTTGGGCGACATAATGGAGAAACTTAGTCATATATATGAGTCAAGGATGGATGGGAATCACACCCTTCATATAATTCCGGATTCTAGACAAGTCAAAGCAGATGAGTTGCAGCCTGGGGTTTGTTACCTGCAAATAACTGCTGTTGATCCCGTCATGGAAGATGAAGATCTAGGAAGCAGAAGAGAGAGAATATTTTCCCTTTCCACTGGTAGCGTTCGTGCACGTGTCTTTGACCACTTCTTATTTGATACCCCTTTTACCAAAAATGGCAAGACACAAGGTGGATTAGAAGACCAATGGAAGCGGAGGACAGTTCTTCAGACTGAGGGGTCTTTCCCTGCCCTAGTGAATCGGCTTGTAGTAATTAAATCGGAATCTCTTGAGTTCTCTCCCGTTGAGAATGCAATTGGAATGATTGAAACTCGGACAGCTGCACTACGAAATGAGCTTGAAGAGCCTCGCAGCTCTGAAGGTGACCAACTCCCACGTCTCCAGAGTCTACAGAGAATACTTCAAGGCTCTGTCGCAGTTCAAGTGAGTTGCATAGACTTAAATCTCATTAAACACATGCTTTTTGTTTACCGCTTTAGTTGTCAATAATAATCACTATTTCCTGGATATTGTGTTAGACAAGTAGTGGATTTAATCGTTGCCTCATAATATATGGACTCAGTATTGGAAGTGGGAATGGGTCCGAGCATCACACATTCATAAACTTAAATCTTAAGGTATCAGGATATGTATCCAAAAGTGGGATATGGGTACTGAGACATGTCATGGAAACTTACATATATTGCATATTATATAATATTTTTTGGTGAGTCGTAAATTATGTAGAATGTACGGGAAATTAACTAGGATTTATCGAAAATATGAAATTTCTATTTCTCATCCGTGTGAGAGTCTAAAGATGTTTCTTTACTAGAAAATGAAGTTTCTTCTTCAGACATCATAAAAATTAGAGAATACAAGTGTCTAAATTAGGTATGGCTGTCGGACACATATCTTGCACCCTTGTCATATTGAGTTTACACTGATAGTTTGAGAGAAATAGAAGCGTACATGTAACACAGGTTTTGATCTTCCCAACAAAATCTGCTATTTCATTCGTGTGTTGTATTAATCAAATATCGAATTTGCATATTGTAGGTCAACAGTGGAGTCTTAAGTGTGTGCACAGCTTTCCTGTCGGGTGAGCCAGCGACGAGGCTGCGTTCCCAGGAGCTGCAGCAACTCATTGCTGCACTCCTTGAATTTATGGCGGTCTGCAAACGCGCCATTAGGGTGCACTTCAGGCTGATTGGGGAAGAAGATCAGGAATTCCATACACAGCTTGTCAACGGGTTTCAATCACTCACTGCAGAGTTATCTCACTACATTCCTGCGATTCTCTCGGAGCTCTAACAATGTCTCATCTTTTTACTTCTTCAGGTGTTTCTACTGTAATGTGTGTTCATATGATTTCCTCTGTTTCTTTTTATATTTTTGAATTTCTTTTTTCCTTTTTGTTGGGGAAAGGGGGGGATTCACTTTTGACAATATCCCGCCTTCTCAATGGAGGGGATTAGATTTATGAAATGCTTGCTTTGTACACTGCAGAACTCCTCCATGTCACACAAATGGTGGGTGCGTGTTCATATATTCATGAAATATTTGTGTTTGCTATTATGTTTTCTCATTAATCTTGTGTTAGCTTCTGTTAGATTTTTTTCAATTATTTTTTTATTTTTTATTTTTTTTAATTTTGAATTTTGTTGAGAAACATGTGGTTTCCTTTGCAAATGCATTGTTACCTTTGTGAATATTGACATCTATTGTTTTCAGTTGCATCCGGATTTGCTTTGTGGTTATGATTAAACCATGTTTGCCATTGTAAGGGAAATAATAGTTCATTCTCGGACTTTTTAATCTATGGAGTATTGGAAGGTCATCCATTTATGTCGTTTTGTGAAAAACTCTTAAAATAGTAGTCTCTCCAACACAAAGAAACACACGTGCCTTTCTCATCGTCTACTAAAATGTGATCTCAAAACCTCCTTTATTCACCTCTCATTCGGTTACTACAATCAACTTATCCCATTCTCATTGACCACCTCAACACCATTTTCTCTCAACGTGTAACCCTACATCATAGACTACTGTCACTTGCCGGTCATCACGGATTGCCCCCGTCGCTGCCTTTCCTTCTTTTCATGCATTCTATAATATACCATTACCACTCATGACTCACCCTATTCCCCTCCACCTTCCTTATCCTCCAAGCACTCTGCCATAGACCACTACCACCACTTGCAGACAACAGCCTTTGCATACGCTTTCCCTTACCTCCCTCCCCTGCTGACCATTGCCGCCTACCACTCCTCTGGACCCAGTCACTTACGACCATAGGCCATAACACCCCATCTCTTACGACCCAACTCCTTCCTTAGATTATGATTTGCGGCCCATCCACTCCAACTTTGCATACTTAATTTTTCAATTTCATTTGATTTGAAATTGTTTTTTGAGATTATGTGGATCTGTGGATAGGTTTTGGATTTGGGTTTGGATTTAGAGACCGAAGAGAGGGAAACTTACTTTGTGAAGTTTCAAAGTTGCCTCTCAACTGTGATTGGCAATTGAATTAAAGTGAAAAAAAGGCCAATAGTTTGGAGATTAAAGAAAATAAATATTTGATTTAAGGATCAAAGTATGAAATGATTACATGAAAGAATAGGAGTGTAATTTAAAAATAAAATTAATAGCAAAATGTTATGAATAAATAAAATTTGGAAAAAAAAAAAAAAAAAAAGAGTTTTACCCTCAACTTTTTATCAGTCACTTCACTTTACAAATGTGGTAATTAGACAATGAAATAGCAAACAAAATAGATAGAAGGCTAAAGAATTTCTTGGTACTTTTGGGTTGTTTATTTATTTATTTATTATTTTCAAAGAGTAGAAATAAGTTAAAACTATATAACTAGATGACATGACAGTAATTTTACAGAAAAATAGTAGTGTGATTCTAAGTCTCAAAATTTTAGTGTTTAAAACGGTTTGGAATGAAAATTCGATCATTGATTAGCTATGACATATTGTTAACAAAACTAATAATAATTGAGTGTACAATATTCAAAATTATTCAGCTTGTTTGGTTTTCAAATTCAGAATTTACTTTTTAGAAAATTAAATTTTTTTGTTTTTCGTATTTTTTTTATTTTTATTGAATTAATTTTTTTTAATTTTTAGGTACACCTAATATAAATACACTTAAAAAATATAATATTTGTAATTTTTTTTACTAAATACCAAAAATATAAAAATTCAGTATGTTTTTCATATTTGTATGTGTTTATTGATTTTTTACAAATATTTTATTTTTTAAATACATCTAAATAAGGTGTATCTAAAAAAATAAAAGAAGTACTTAAATTTTTAAAAATATTCACTAAAAATTAAAAAAAATATGCAAACATAAAAAATTCAATTTTCAAAAAATTAAATTCAAAAAAATTAAAAGTAAACACACTGGCGGTTTTCCTACTATTACATATTGCTAACAAAACTAATTTAGAAAGAAAAAAAAAAATACTAAATGTTAGGGCTGAGCAAGGAATCCGTGAAATCCGTAATCCGATCCAGTCCAGTCCAATCCGATAGGTTTGGATTGGTTTTTTGAATCCGTGGTTCGGTTCCGGATTGAAGAATTAAAAATCCGTAGTCCACGGATTGGTTCCGGATTGAACCCCACGGTTCCGGATTGGAACCGGTCCGGACCGTATACAAATAGTCTATATTTTTATTATACATCCTTACCCATAGTATCTTCGCTTATTCCATATAAAACCTAAACTCAAACCTAAACCCGTTTAATATCTTCTTTTATTACTTTTGTTTGTTAGTTTTTAGTTTTAACTTGTAATGGTCTAAATACTTATGGTGAAACTAATTTTCTTATGGTTGTTTAAATTCTATAACAGTATGTTGCTATTATAAAGACATATTGCTATTGTGGAACTAATATAGTGCTATGTTTATGTTTTTATGAAATTAAAGTGTTATATATATATTTTTTTATTATTTAATTATGTGAATCCGTGGTCCTAAACCGATCCAATCCGTATTTAAATGGATTGGTTCCATGATTTAAACGGATTGAATTGGTTCTAATTTTTCAAGAACCGTAAATAACGGATTGGTCCTGGTTTTACACCAATCCAATCCAATCCGGACCATGCTCACCCCTACTAAATGTTTAATAGCATTGACAAAAAGGTAAAAAATAATAATAATGATTAATAATGAAATTCTCATTCACGATTATGAGATTCAAGCCTGGCTTAAAATGGAAAGTCCTAACGGCCTGCAAATTCTGTTGGAGAAAAGTAGTCACAGACTCTGTTCGCAACAATCTTTGCCTGAAAACTTTTTTTTTTTTTTTTGATCGAGAAAAGCTTCAATTTTTATATGAATGTCTTCACACTATTTGAAAATGTACTTAAAAATCGTAAAACTAAGTTATGAGAAGTTTACGAGTTTCTCTTGCATTGAAACCAATTCGGTTTTTGTCCTGCATACTCTACAATTCCAAATCCTATTCCTCATCTTCCGACCACTTGTCAGGCGGAGACACGGCTGCGACACTTTCCAATGCTCTTGCCCTCGCCGCAAAGTTGAAGTCGTGTGTTTTCGGCACCCAAATCCATGGCCGTATCGTCAAGTTGGGATTTTCAAACGACACTTTCTCACAGAACAATCTGGTCAAAATGTACTCAGAGTCTGGAGTTCTGGGTGATGGGTTTAAGGTGTTTGACGAAATGCCTGAAAGAAACCTTGTTTCTTGGACTCTGGTTATTTCGGGTGCAGTGAAAAATGGTTTGAGTGAAATGGCCCTGGAGGTGTATTTGGACATGGCAAGAACTGGGTGGACTCCGAATGAGTTTGCCGTAGGCAGTGTTGCGAAGGTGTGTACTAGTATGGGGGCTGATGTGTTGGGGATGTGTGTACACTGTTTTGCTCTGAAAGTTGGAATGGAGAAGAACCCATTTGTTGTCTGTTCGATTCTGCACATGTATGCTAAGTTTGGTGTCATTGAATCGGCCGAGAGGGTATTTGAGGGTATGGATAGTCATGATGTTGGTTGTTGGAATGCTATGGTTGGAGGATATGCACTTCGCGGCCTTGGATTTAAAGCCATGAGCACTCTATCTTTGATGCACAGTAAAGGAGTACTTATGGACAAATTTACCTTTATTAATGCTCTCAGAGGGTGCATAATTATAGGTGATCTGGATTGTGGAAGACAGATTCATGGATTGATTGTTCAGAGTGAGATGGAACCGAGTACTTCAGTGATGAATGCTCTCATGGATATGTACTTTAAAAATGCCGAGAAGGGTTCGGCTTTCAAGCTTTTCAATGCAATGCAAGAGAGAGATGTTGTCTCTTGGAATACTGTATTTTCAGGTTCTTCTCAAGATGTGGATACAAAAGAAGTTGCAAGCTTGTTCAATAGTTTGATGTTCACAAGCTTGAAGCCCAATCATCTTACTTTCTCAATCTTGTTTAGGCTATGTGGGGACGTCCTTGATCTTCATCTTGGTCTTCAGTTCTTTTCTCTTGCGTGTCATTTTGGATTTTATGATGAATCCCATGTTTCAAGTTCACTAATTAATATGTTCTCTAGATGTGGAGTAATCAAGATGGCACGTTTGGTGTTTGATAGTTTACCTTTTAAATACATAAACAATTGGAATGAAATAATTTCTGGGTACAATTTGAGTTGTGATGCTGAAGCGCTTCAGGTTTTCTGTCAATTTTGGAATTTGGGATTTGAAGCAAATGAGTGTACCTTCTCTTGTGCTCTGGAATCTTGTTTTAAGACCGAAAATCTACAAATAAGCAAACAAATCCATGGGATTATAGTCAAATATGGTTTTGCCTCCCATAGTTATGTTTGTAGCTCCTTAATTAAAGGATATGTCAAATTTGGGTTTCCAGATGATGTATTTAAATGTTTGTTTGAGCTTGAGAAAATAGATATGGTATCATGGAGTACTGTGATTTCAGCGTTTGCGCATCGAGGTTGTGTCGCTGAAGCCATAAAATTTCTAAATTGTCTAAAAGAAGATGGTGGAGAACCTGATGATTTTATTCTTGCCAGCATTTTAAATGGTTGCGCTGGAATTGCATCTCAACACCAAACTAAATCTGTTCATTCACTAATTATCAAAACAGGATACAAGGCGAATTTATTTGTTGCCAGTGCAGTTATAGATGCTTATGCTAAATTTGGGGATATTAGAAGTGCACGGATGGCTTTTGATCAATCATCTAAATTCGGTGATGTGGTTCTGTGCAATACTATGATCATGGCTTATGCCCATCATGGTCTCATTTCGGAAGCTATGGAGCTCTTTGAGAAAATGAAGTTGGCTAATCTAAAGCCCAGCCAAGCCACATTTGTGTCACTTATATCAGCCTGTAGTCATATGGGTCTTGTTGATCACGGCCGTCTTTTGTTCAAATCAATGACCTCAGATTATGGAATCGAACCTTTACCAGGTAATTATGGTTGCTTTGTTGATTTGTTGTCAAGAAATGGTTTCCTCCAAGATGCTAAAAATATAATTGAGGCAATGCCATTTGAACCTTGGCCGGCAATTTGGAGATCCTTGCTTAATGGTTGTAGAATACATGGGGACAGAGAGTTGGGAGAATGGGCTGCTAGGAAGTTATTTCAGTTAGTTCCTGAAAATGATGCACCTTATGTCTTGTTGTCAAAGGTTTATTCAGAAGATGGTAATTGGGAAGAAGCTGCAAAGGTGAGGAAAGAAATGATGGAAAGAGGAATTCGGAAGAACTCTGGTTGTAGTTGGGTTGAGATATAGTACAAGGTCCATGTGTTTGGATGTAGAAACTCTCAACTGAGTAAGTTTCAGAAGAACTGCTTGAACGTTGGTAATGCTGATTTATTCATTTTTTTCACCATTAGTTCTTGGATGGCAATTCATGAGTTGCTGTAGGGTAAGGCTTCATTCTCAACATATGAAGTAAAGGTACATTTTTACAGTGGTTGCTTCTATGTTTAATGTTCTTCTCTCTCTAACTCTTATATGATTGTCTCCTATTGCCTGGCAGGAAACATTAAATAAATATCTTCTTTTGTTGTATGCTGCTTTGGTGTTTAGGAAAAAGCATAACCTCAAAATGATATCAAAAGCCCCATTATTGTTGTGAGAAGCTACCTATATGTGAATAGCAGTGTTCAATGATTTCAAAGTACATTATATATTTGTATTACTTTTGGGATGAACTTTTCAGGGAAATAGGCTGCATGTACCAGCCTTTTGTATCTCATTTATGCCAAATATACTGTAGCCATTAGACATTATTAAGTGTCAGATGATAGTTGTGCATAGTAGCAAGTTCTATGCATTGTTGATCGTCCACTTGAAACTGGATATGTAGTAGACACTAATAAGTAACTAGCAATTATCGATTTAGTCATCAACTTTCCCAAAAGCTTGAGCTATTAGGAAACAGGCCCAACAATGTATATCTTAAGTTCTCCAACAGGGCACGATACTCTTGAGCATGTTATGGATGCAAAGGATTGACAAGAATAGCCTCACATCATGATCATCATAATAGTCTAGGGTGGCACCTCGAAACCTTCTGATATACTCCACAAGCAGTTCTTTGTTGATCTGCTGTTTGGTGTTGCTTGATAAATGTCTAAAAGTATGTAGTTAGTCCATTATTTTTTAATGGTAAAGTACTTTTATTATATTAATTCCCTCAATTTATTTTAATTGTGTATTTATAAATTAATTTTATCTCTGCAGAAAATAAAACATTTCAACTAAAATAAAGTTAAGATGTGGGCCTAGCTATTCTAATTTACATTGTCAACATATGAATGTCGCTGGAGAAGTGAAGTGCACGTGTGGTGCCATGATAGGGATTTCAAAGTAGAGCAGAGAATTTTCATTTTACAGATCCATGGAAAGAGATGTGGTTCAAATCGATGAAGGAAAGAGAAGCGAATAAAATAAAAGTGGTTTTTGGGCCAAAAGTTCTTGAGTCAATTTGATGAAGGTTAGGAGAATAGACAATGTGTAATTCCCTATTGGAATTGTGCCATAGTTTGTAAAATAGAAAAAAAGGCACGACTCCTGAAAATGTTTAATTTAAAAATTTTCGTAGTGTCCCATTTCAAAATGACAAAGCTCTGATTTTTCTGTAAAAGAGTGGATGAGGCTGAGAAATTGCGAGTTATGGTAGGTTTTTTTTTATGGAAGGACTGTTTATGTATGTTGGTGATGTAGCAATGGAAACCAGAGACTTGTATGTATTTTATGGTGATAGCATTGTATGGGAGCTGTTTTATGTAGAAAATTTACCCTTTTTGTTACTGGAAACTGGAGGTTTTTATTGTAACAGAGGAATTTTGTGGTGGTTTGGTACAAGTTGATCATAGAACTTCAGAAATTTCCGTCTATTTGAAGCAAAGATTAAAGTTATAGAGCTTGAAATACTGGTTCTATTCTGGCAAAAGCGGCTTTTAAAGTCAACAGGATGAAGATTATTGTGAGACTGAGGGTAGTTTCTAGGACAGTTCGAGGCTGATAATGGTTTTCTGCTACCTTCACAAAACATAGTCAGCATATAAACTTAAATATACAGTGAGAATACGTGTATTATGTTTGATTAGGGTATGATATAGAATAGGATATGAGGGGAGGATTAAATTTTATTCTAGATAGGGTGATATGACTAATGCAATGGTGGGTATTGCTAATCCCACCATTTTGAGAGATTAGCGATATTATGGTATTACCAATTTTATTCATTTTTACAATCAAACGTGTTATTTAAAGACAAGAAAAAACATGTGGTATTAGCAATCACCCTACAAGGCACGTATCAAATAAGGACCAAAATATAACCATACTAGTTAGTATCTTGTGCGTGCAAGTTGAGAGCTGGGGTGGTATTTCGTAACTTAATTTAGCACTTACTTCCATCACCATTGTCGCCACAACAACCCTAACACAACCACCACTTAAAATATTCAGCATTAATCATTAGTTTTCAGATTTTCCGTATTCAGTTTTATGAAACACCACCACCTTAGGATATCAACATTCAGATTTAGTTTCATTTAAATCAATTTGTAATGATCATTTCATTGTTGTGTAATGGCATTAAGTATTTTGCAACTACAGTTAAACCTCAAATCTATTTATGCATTATTAGATTTGTATTTATTTGTTACCTTCCAATGCATAGTAATATTTATATAGCAAATGCAAGCAAAATTATTTCAAAGCCCATGCACCAGATGTATTATTTGAAAAGCTTTAAGAGTAGATTGATTACACAATTGTATCTGATCAACAAAAAAAATATTTCTACCACACAAACTGATAAAAAGTCTAACACAAGTAACACTTAATTGTTTCTATCACTCGAATTCAGAAATGACTTCTAGCTTGCTATCAAAAGTCCATCCACCCCTAGAAGTCTTTGGATTTGTGGTGGTAAATGGACTAGGGGGCATTGCCAGAGTTTCTCCATTTCCTTCTAGCATTTGAACCACAACTTTCATAGCAGGTTAATCTCCTGGGTACCATTGAATGCACCAAAGTCCTACAATTGTTAGTTTCTTCACAATCTTAGCATCTCTATCTTCTTTAATCACGATCTCCTGTTCTTCTCCCTGATTTAAACAATTATAGATGCATTCAGGAAAGTAAACTTCACCGGTATTATGTTATGTAACATTACTATTCTCCCTCCCTCCAACCGTTTCAAGAAGCAACATTCCAAAACTATAGACATCTAATTTGTATGACACGTTTCCAAAGATCCTAGAAAACACTTTGGGTGCAATGTAGCCCACCATCCCCCTAGTAGCAGTCATGGATACAACACTTTGTTCTTTCGAACACAACTTGGCTAGACCAAAATCAGAGATCTTTGGATTGAATTTGTGGTCTAACAAGATATTATGTGGTTTGATATCAAAATGAAGGATTCGTAGATTACACCTTGGATGAAGATATTTAATACCTTTGGCTATGTGTCAGAGGTGGACTCTTTTAGAGGCGTAGCGGAACAATTTTCCGCCCGTGTGGCACTCAAACTCCACCAAGTTTAAGCCCGCCATCGCTCATTGACAAATCGAGTGTTGATGATCTCACTCGTTTGAACATTTGGCCCCAATGCTTTGTCAAACAGAACAACTCCCATAGGAAGCTCCGTCTTCACCTGGATGCCACAAGTAGGTCTGACGCCTCAAGTGCACAAAGCACGGCATAAGTTTCTTCATAGCGCCAAACTTATCTTAAGCAAGGTGCTTGCCCAACTTAGGTTCATGTCATCAAGGTGCCTAGCCACACAACAATGTGCTACCGAAGGCCCTCGACTTAGCCAACAAGCCAACATAGCATGTTGAGTCTTTGATAGCATCTCGAAGTGTCACAAGGTCAAGCATGCCTCAATCGATACATATCTGATAGCCACATGGTCATGCAAAGCCCACAAGACATCTAGGATCAATAACTTGCCCACGATGTAGTCCTTGTGCCAACATGTGTGTTAGATTCCGCCTAAGGCTATTGTGCACGTTAGCAAGTAAAGCAATGTCTCAATCCATAGCTCGCTTGTAGCATAATGTCATCCTTCAATGGATTCAGTCAATGTACAACTTGATGCCTTCATTTGATAGCCCACATATGCGGTGTTTCCTTCTAACCGCTAAGCTTAAGCCACGGGATCTCCACGTGCAAGGTTGAACCCAAATCAAGCACTTGAGTTGGCACAATCCGTAGCTCGCTTGTAGCATAATGTCATCCCTCAGTGGATTCAGTCAATATGTAGCTTGATGCCTTCATTTGATAGCCCACATATGCAGTGTTTCCTTCCAACCGCTTAGCTTAAGCCATGGAATCTCCATGTGCAAGGTTGAACCCAAATCAAGCACTTGAGTTGGCACACGAGGCTTTTGGTGGTGCCTGGATAGCCCATTCATTCTAGAACAACCCCCAAGATGCCATAATGCATGGCATAATAGAAAGCATGCACCAAACCTCGTGCTTGGCAGACATGCGCAGTGCTTACATTTTTGCACCATCCATGGGGCTCCCAAACCTTTTTGGAGACTCTAGACACCTCTCTAAATGCCTAAAGCCCACCCTTGAGTTGTCCCAATGTTGCTCACTTGAAGCTCAGTTTGGGCGTGGAGCCAGGTAGGAGGCACACCATATCCCCTTATAGATGCTTTTAAAATCTTTTGTCAACTAGCAAGAGGAAACATGCCATATGCTTGAAGAGTCATAATGATTTTTCAAAAATTCCACAAATTGAGAAAAATCACCAAACTTGGTCGGGAAAACACTCACCCCAAGGCCTAAGTCCAGTAAAAATTTTAGCCCAAAACTCCTTCGTTTGGACCCTTAAACAATGTGCCAAAATCTGCCAAGATTGGCTGCTGCTGCTGGGCCGCGACCTGGGCTGCAGGAGGGTAGTTGGCATGTGCACGCGGGCTGCGGCCTGAGCTGTGGCCTGTCTGCAACTGGGCTGCGGCCTGTCTGCGGCTGGGCTGCGGCCTTTGCTGCTTGGGCGTGCTGCTGGCTGCATGGTGGCATGTCTGCCTTGGGCTGCTTGGGGCCAACTTTGGGGCCACGCTGAGGCACTGAACCACCAACTTGGAATCTCGATGCCCATCACCTAGGCACTTCCAAAGGCCACTCTTGAGCACTCAAATGGTCACACCACCACATGTGAAATGTCACGGAGTTGACCTTGCAAGGCAACCCGTGACACTATACCAAGAGCAAAATTATGTAGCTTCTCCCAACTGAGTGAACTTTTTTCCTGATCAGATGATATAAACTTATCTAGGGAATCATTTGGTAAGTATTCGTAAATGAGAGCTCTTCCAAATCCATTAGCACAATATTCGACCATGCGAACCACGTTGATGTGGTGGATTCTACCTATTGTCCCCACTTCGTTGATTAAGTCGCCTCCATTCCCCTTGAAATCGTTGAGGATCTTAGCTACAATGTGAACATCATTGGAAAGCTGTCCCTTGTACACTGTTCCATAACCTCCTTGGCCTAGTTTGTCCTTGAAATTGCTAGTAATTTTCTTAATCTCTGCATAAGTGTATCTTGTAGGCTTGAGAGCTCTGTAATCCTCCAAAGACCTTTTTTTTTTTTGGGTAGGTAAGTCCAAAAACCTTGTAATTTTCAGGTGATCCTCTTTTTTCAATTTATTTGATATGTGAACACAATATATTGTGACCATGACTACAAGAAGAAGAAATAAGCCAGATGGGATCACACCTGTAATTTTAAATAATCTAAGTAGGAGTGAAAATCTTTTTTCCCAAAAATGAAAAACAAATAAAAAAATCTTGGCTGGGTAGACAGAGAGTTCACCTTTAAGCACTAGGCTTTTGGTTTCACCTGTAAAAGATAGACAAGGCTAGACATTTGTCATTCATGAACTTATAATGTTTCTCATATATATATATATATATATATTTCCTAGTTGAAGAGGGTAGGAGTACGTGTTGCTTGTTTGCTCGATGATGAAAAAATATCCGTAGTATTTCCCGGTGGATTAGGAACATTATCATTGTCAAAGCATTCAGTTTCATCATATTTGTTATTGCTACTGCTGTTCCCACATATGAGTTTGGATTTGTACCAACTCAATTCAGGGCCATAAATATATAAATAATTTAAATAATATGCAGGTGATTTAATGGTATACAACTTTGTGCAAGATGATAGGGGCCAATGGATTAAAAATCATTAGGTACCACATAATAGATCTTGGGGCCTTGGCTGTTGTTGCCAAGGTAAGTGATTGGATCCATATTCATTGAATGCCCCTTTGTTGAGGAACAATTGAAAATACTGAGGTTGGTATATTGTTCATTATATGAGAATTGGAAAGGAGAGGCAGTTAAGTTGAGTTTTGCAAGTAGTTCTGGAGATAGCAATGGCTGGGGTCATGTATATGCATCAACTTAGATATGTAATCATTTTTCCGGACCCTTGCCATGACAGAAAACGGGAGCTCAAGGATGGTATGGTTATTGGTTGGAGAGCAAAATAGTTCGAATCCAGGATTACGATAGCACAGTGATTTGGCTGTTGATTGTCCTTTAGGCAGAATGGGAATCAGATGGCTGGGCCATTATGCACCTTGTCACCGTGCACTCATCTGAATCTCTCGGTGATGTTGCCAAGCTTCTTCCTCCTTGCAGTAACAAGAAGAGAGAGAGAAATAAGAAGAAAAAGATGGACATTTTTCTTGGCTATTCCTTTGCTTCTTTACCTGACAACTTTCATGTGTGTGTTGTTTAACTTCGAGGAAAGAGAATTATTTGTTGTGGATGAAATGGTAACTTTTGAATTTTCA